GGCTGGGTATGTCCAGGGAGTGGGTACTACCCCAGGGCTGGTGGGGGAGGTGGCTGGGTATGTCCAGGGAGTGGGTACTATCCCAGGGCTGGTGGGGGAGGTGGCTGGGTATGTCCAGGGAGTGGGTACTACCCCAGGGCTGGTGGGGGAGGTGGCTGGGTATGTCCAGGGAGTGGGTACTACCCCAGGGCTGGTGGGGGAGGTGGCTGGGTATGTCCAGGGAGTGGGTACTACCCCAGGGCTGGTGGGGGAGGTGGCTGGGTATGTCCAGGGAGTGGGTACTACCCCAGGGCTGGTGGGGGAGGTGGCTGGGTATGTCCAGGGAGTGGGTACTACCCCAGGGCTGGTGGGGGAGGTGGCTGGGTATGTCTAGGGAGTGGGTACTACCCCAAGGCTGGTGGAGGAGGTGGCTGGGTATGTCCAGGGGGTGGGTACTACCCCAGGGCTGGTGGAGGAGGTGGCTGGGTATGTCCAGGGAGTGGGTACTACCCCAGGGCTGGTGGGGGAGGTGGCTGGGTATGTCCAGGGAGTGGGTACTACCCCAGGGCTGGTGGGGGAGGTGGCTTGGTATGTCCAGGGAGTGGGTACTACCCCAGGGCTGGTGGGGGAGGTGGCTGGGTATGTCCTGGAGTAGCTGGGTATCCCCTGGATGTTGCTGGGAGTGCCCCACCATGGCTCTTGCTGCCCCTCATCCTGTCAGTTTAGATGCCTTGTAATGTTGTTGTATAATATGATATATTAAGGGTCTAGAATTCTTGACAGGTCAGACAATGTAAAATCTGGTATTAGTGCATATCAGGGAGGAAATTGACTCATGGGAGGGTAAATGATCTCCAAATTGCTTATCAGGAACACAAAAGCAAAAAAATAGCATGGTTCTGAACATTTCATAGAAAACAAAACCTGGCATTGCCTGGTACCCATGATATATGGTACCGAGCTGTAATGCAAGCATCTGACTGAGCAAGCAAGTCAGAGGCTTGCTTCCACACATGCCATGAGACATACCTCTAACCATCACCTTTGATCATTGCCTGATGGGCACTGTATCTTTAGTACTATTATTATTTTCACACAGTACAGTGCTCGATTTCCCTTTGCTCACCCGCCACAAAACCAACCCACTCTTTGCATCTTATGTTTATATTACATTTACCATTGTTTACCTCACAATGGTAAACGCATTATTAGGTAGCAGTCTGTGATAGTCGTTAAGTCGTAATCCACTGTCATAGCATCGGTTACTGGAGGGATGTTATCTCTTGAGAACAGCCTAACTCATTCAATTCAGGTCTGCCCGGTAAACATTCCCCATAAAGACTTCATTCTCTCATACTGGTTTACTGATTCATTCGTCTACTGTTTCTACTTATGATCTTGGTTATATTATAAAAAAGTTTCACATATATATGCTAGTGAAGTTTCTTAAAACATGGGTGATACCAATGTTCCTATCTGTCGGCAGGTTCCAGGTTTGGACATTAGGCTCGGAGACGCCTAAAATCTTCAAATTCTGTTCTCTCAGTTTATGGGTTATAACCATAAATTGTCAATGTTCACAAATTAATTTACTAGAATAAAAATACAAAACTAAATGTTTTAATAATAAATTATGCATGATGGTGCCAAATAAATGTTTATAAACATTTGAACAGTCCTCATTTATTTTCACCATTTAAAAAATGTAGAAATGTGTGCACATGATCAGTATACTGTAAGTATCACTGAAAAAATAAAACAAACATAACTCATACTTTTCTTGCAGGTAATTTGAAAGCTTTGAAAATATTCAAATGCCGAGCAGTGATAGGTAGTTGGCTGAGGTGATCTCGTGATGGTTCCTTGATACTTTAGTTCGTTCCCCTCATAAGTTATGCTCTCGCTGTCCTCTCAAAGTTTTTTTTTAAAGAGATGAATGACGCATTCTAGCATTATCAGAATACAGTACTAAAATTAACACTGAAGTGTTAATGTTCAGGATTGTCATTATACAACCTCCAATGACATACTTGCTCTAAGTATGATCCAATATTTGGACTTAACTTTCTTGTCCATGAGATGTGATGTGACTTAAGTACAAGTGACCTCATTCCAGACTGTTTCCTCTTCCTAATAAAACATAATAATTGATGGACAAAATAACAAAGTAGCATATAGTGGTTATAAAAGAAAGTGTTTGGAATTTAATTTATAATATTTATAACAAATTAGTTTTTTCATGCTTAAGAACGTATACAGTTCTGTAGTTTTGGCACTGTCAAAATGGAGATGGCTGGATAACCATAAATTAATTAGTCACTTTTTATATACTTGTACCAGTCATAATTTTGTTGATATATTACTTTCTATTACATAATGTTACTCTATTTCCTTGATAATACTAAATACAAATTATTTTAAAACATTTCTTAAATTTGCAGCATTTAAGCAGCCAGAAAAGGTTCCCGAGTGTAATCTTAAATCATTGTTATAAATTTAATTATTTCAGATCAGTGGCCAAGAACTGCTTCAGGTTGGCCAAGCACAAGTGGGACAACAGCAAGTGTAGCTTTTATTCGCAGACAGAAAATATACATTGGCCATGTGGGAGATTCTGGAATTGTCCTGGGATGTGAAGATCCAAGTAAGTCATAGTGTAATTCAATCTATATATAACTGTGTGTTTTATTTACGAAGGTAGTGTGGGTATAATTTCTGTACTGATCAGTGTTTTTAATTCTGATTGCATGAATTTAATATTTATTCAGTATTGAGTTTATTAAAATGGATATACAGCATTGTTATACTGTACAGTATATTCACTCGTGCTCTGTTCAACTGGACGAAGGTGCTGTATAGGTTTTGATATATCCTGAATAAAGCTTCCATTTTATTTTGGCACCGCATGGTTTACAGAAAGTTGAGTTAGGATAGTCTTGGATGAAAAATAGGGAATGGTACCGATTCATTTTTTGCATTTATAGAAATTATAGGTAAAATTTTTGTTAAGAATTCAGCAAAAAAAAATCTGGTTTAGTGAGCTATAAGTTTACAATGTAATATGTACAGATGTTGCACATAAATATATTCCTAGCACAGCTTAGCACTTTGGCGTTCTGATGATGCACTATGCGGCATAAAACCAAAACACTCAGAGTGGGTGATGTCGCAAATGTTGTCGTGCAATAATTTTTTATTAGTCTTAAGTATAAATATTGTGAGTGAAATATTTTAATATTGGGTTGTGTGGTCATGGGCAATGCTCGGCCTACCTTCCGGTGCGATGCAGGTGGCTAGGGGGAATAGAATTTAGTTACAAATTGTGATTTCAGGATAGTTCAGATTAGCTTCACTGTACGATACTGTTAATAATTTAATTTATACTCTAATTTTTTTTTTAGATGGGAGCTGGCATGGTGAAGCCTTGACTCGCGATCATAAGCCAGAGAGCGTGGCTGAAAAAGCACGTATAACAGAATGTGGAGGAAAGGTTATCAACAAATCTGGTGTGCCCCGTGTGGTATGGAATAGACCGAAGTCTGGACACCAGGGTCCTGTTCGCAGATCCACACCCATGGATGAAATACCATTTTTGGCAGTGGCACGTTCGTTAGGTAATTGAATTTATCCCAATTGATTGTATATATGACGTGATGAATATTTACAGATGAAAATATTAGTTTACCTTTTTTTTTTAACCCCTAAATTGTGGATCATCAAAGGTGCCTTTTGTCTCTTTGCATGCAAAAAAGAAAGTGTCCATTTTCTTGCAAAAAGTAAGGACAGTGAAAAAAGTATCCCAAGTCATTTTGGTTTTAGTGCACATTGGGAATTTACCAGGTGAGGGGATTATTTGGTCTGGGGATACATGTGATACATTATTGCTGACTTGACACACAGGCAAATAGCTATGGTGATTGTTTTAGATGGTCTACACTATATGATTGTAGTTTCACTTTCGTTTGCACGAAGTGTGGTGTAAATATGTATACACAATTCACAATTCACTAAAACAATATGTACACCTATATTGCACATAAATCTTTCCTGGCACAGCTCAAAGGAAGTGTCTTGCAAGCCATTGGTGTTATTTTGTCTGGGAAGGTCTTCCAGAAATGGATTAAAACACCAATGGAAAAGACTAGATTTGGATATGACGATAATGGCAAGATGCTGGTATATATGATAACCTCTACATGTATTAAGCAATTAAAATCTATAGCAGAATATTTTCACATGTTTAGGCTAACTTCATTATATCCATGTAGATGTATTATAACCATATTTACATCATTTGTATAAAAACTGGGTGATAATAACTAAAATCAACATATAAACTCATTACCCTTGTATCAGTATGTGCTGATAACTTTACTTAAATGTTAAAACACATTTCAGTACTTGTATCCCCTTTGATCTTTTTCAACCATTTATATACTGTATTTCAGTCATGTCAACCTGTACGCTTCATTTTTCTAGAGCACTTGTTCCCAAACTAGGAGCCATGGGTGCCCTGGAAGGCCATTTTGCGATATGTAAGGGGGCCATAAGTTGAGACAGTGTACAGGTTATGATACCAAACGATACCAAAGGGGACGTTTACTGAACATAGGGGCCATTAATAAGAATGCTATATGAAAAAAAGGGTAATAACCGAAAAGAGTTTGGGAACTACTGTTCTAGGGAATATAAGTTAAACTTTTGTAATCACTTTTATAAACAATGTCCAGTATTCCTGGGATTAACTTTGTCATCCTTCTCTTGAATTGTTCCAGTCAATTTATGCCCGTTCTATAGTACAGAGACCAAAACTAAACTGCATAATCTAAATGGAGTCTAATAAGGGCAAGGTATAGTTGAAGAATAATTGTCTTAATGCTAATACTTATAGAAAAAATAAGTTTTGCTATATTCTGCACATTATGCATTGATTTTTTTTTGCTTTAAGGTCCCACACCAATCATGACTCGCAGATCTTTTCCGCATTCATATTTCGAGGTTCAAATGATTTAATCCAACGCATAAATCATTTAAATACATGATAAACAGGTACAGAGACCTGGGGAAGATATTGAGTCTCATTCCTTTCTGCTGGAAAAGAATTACTAAATTTATTAAATATGTCTGGCCCTTTTGTAAAATATATTGTGAACCCTTTATTAATCTGTTTTTCAAGATGTAAATGAATGGCTTTTGCAATTAATGTTTCAAACCACTTTCCTACAATAGATGCTGAGCTTTGATGATATGTAGTTTGATACTAGTGATCCATTTCCCTTCATAAAAATTAGCACATTTGAAACCCTCCATGATTTTGGTACTCTGCTCTATTTAAAATATTTATTAAATGTTTAAGACATGGGTGTACTAATCTGATCTTTGGTGCTACATAATCTCTGACTTGTTACCTTCTTTTAATAATTATTTACTTTAATTAAGCTGCATGTTAGTCTTTAAGAACCCCTGCAAAAACTCTTGTCTGGTTCAGGGTGCTTATTGGGCTTTTGTTTTATTCGTTTAATAACTTCCTCCCTGGTAACCACTGAACCAGTCGCCTTGTCCTCACAGCCAACATAGTTTGTTCATCTGAAGGCATAATACCAAGTTCTCTAATAAGTACGGAGACAAAGAATGTTTCTAAAATAACACCCATTTCTTTAATATTATGTACAAGAGTTCTTACATTCTTGTAAGAGTAAATCCTGCTGTAAATTCTAAATGTTACTGGACTTGTTTAATTTTTCGGTGGTCCTGTCTCCTCCTTTGTCTTTGTTTTATATATCTGAAAAACTTTGATTTATTTTTGCCTGCCTGCTATACATACTTTATAATTTCTGTTAGCTGATATTTATTTTGTTTTTTTTATTTTTACCGAGATATGCTGACATTGAATACCTTTGGCACCTTTCTAAATTGACTTGCTAAGATCAAACCCTTCTATTTTAGTTTTTATTGTAATAAAGTTTGTCATCTGTATACCTGGTACAGTATGGTGTTAATCTAAATGGTGAAAGTTGAAATATCTTGGTTAACAATACTTTTTTTTTTTCAAATTTTTTTAACAGGAGATCTCTGGAGTTACAATGCCACGAACGATCAGTTTGTAGTTTCACCCGAGCCAGATGTGTGTGTCATGCCCATTGACATCACACGTCATAGATGTCTAATTTTTGGCACAGATGGTCTGTGGAATGTTCTAACACCAGATGCTGCTGTCAGCGTAGCACACCAGGCAGAGAGAAACAATGAGAAACATTATCTTGGTGTTCCCAACTCTTGTGGTAAGGTAAGAAGACCTACTATACTTTATAGTGAAAGTGAAGAGTTCCCAAGCTGATATAATTGTGTGAATTTTGGTAAAACAAATTGTGCAGGTATGTGATATGGTATATAAAATATTTATAATTGTACTTGTTTTATCTTGCATGTGTGTAGCGAAAATATAAATTCAACAGCTATACATTTGTTTATAAATGAAGGTATATCTTTGGTTGAGTGACGAGGCTTTATGAATTAATGCCAGAAATGACACAAGATTCTGTAAAGCTGTAATAGTTAATAGACAATATACACTAATTGCAAGCTAAAATTTGTATAATATCATTTGTTCTTATGTATAAGCACTTTTATATTAATGTATGGATTGATATTGTATGTATTTCAGCAACGGCTATGGGTGAATCCATCTCGATCCGTTGTATCGGGTGCTCTTGGGCGTTACATCAAACTTAATCTTCGTGCTGATAACACTAGTGCTGTTACAGTCTTCCTAGATCCACCAGGTCGACCAAAGAGAGAGGTAAGGAGTTCTGTTCCTGCCAAGAGAGAAATATTAATGAAACATTGTTTGGTTAGGGCAATATACTGTGTTTGCCGATGTATAAAAAGCGCTTTTATATTTTTAAATGTCGCAAAATTGCCCTACTTCTAATGTGGCCGTATTACGGATGGGAGACCGAGCGCCGTAGGCTAGGGAGCCAGACGAGCATACTGGGCAAGTTTGCTAGGCACATACTTTTGCTAATAATTAAATAATGAAAATAAGCCCAATTATTACAGTAATTTGTTATGAATAATAAAATTGAAAAGCAGAGTTATCACAAACTTATGAAAAATTGCTTACGATACATTGGCAGTTACGAAGGAAGCTCTCATCTCACCACCTTGCCCAACATACATAACCCACACCTGATATGCCATACATTATTTAACGACTGTGTTACCTTTAAGAAACATTCATTATCTAAATGAAAAATGCACCTAGAGATTTGAAAGGAATGTTGAACTTTCATCCACCTGTCAAAACTATTTGCAATGAGTAAATGTCAACAAAACCAGAGCACTGTAATGGTGTGCCGCCCTGGTGGCCTGATGAGGCAACACAAAACATCACATTCAGAAATACTGTACAAGTTTCACATCCTGTTTAGCAATTCTCTTGTCCAAAATATGAACAACTATACAGCTGATCTTAGAGGAAGTACGAGTTGGGGTATAAAAATCCACTTTAAAATATCTTTCCATACATGTGTGATGAAACATACTGAAATAGTATTTTTTTTCCACAAAATATCCTTATAAAATTGGGGCAATTTCGCTGCGAGGGTGTCTTTTATGCCGGCAAATACTGTAATTTGTATTTACATATTTACATTGTTTTAAGTGATAACATACTTTTTACCTAACTTTAGCAACAGTTTAAAAATTCTTAGTAATTGTTAGTCAAAACCCAGTGTTTAATTATTTTTCCTATCTGTTTTTGGGAGATGTTTATATGTTGTTTGTTAACAAGTATTTATTAAGGTAAAATGGTTGCATAGGCAGCAACTTATTAAGATGGTTTAATAGGTAACAACTGATCACTTTGAAGCAGGTGAAGGTGTTAAAATTAACATTGATATGACTTGTGCAATAGATGGGTTTTCTCTTCATAACTGCTGCTTTTAAGGTAGATAGTAACCGTGGATATATTATTATTTTATCTTTGGCACGATTTCATCAACTCCATAATATATTTCACTCCATGGTCCCTCCACGACCTCTTGATATTGACTGAAATACGATCTCAATTTGATTGATACAATACGATACAATTTGACTGAAACACGATCTCACAGCTCTTGATCAATAACTGTATAGTCTACATCAGCTTCCAGTAGCTATCCCAGAGGCAACATTTTTGCTTTGTAGGATCAATAGTTGACCACTGGAGCGAATAAACCAAGACCTCGCAGAACTATGCAGGGAAGAATAACTACATAATGTAGACTTAATCCAGTGCTTCGAGAAAATAGGCCCTGTAGCACTAAAAACATGTAGACGGCATATACCATTAACGAAAAAGAGAAAAATATGCAAACTGGAACAAGAATGGCGCTCCCTCTATAGGCGAAGAAAACAAATAGCAGAACATCTCAAACGCTCCACTCAATCCCAACAACGATGAGAAAGACAATTTTCCCGATGTAGGGAAATAGAAATGATCGAACTGAAGCAAAGAGGATCATATAAATTCAAAGAGAGGCAAAGGGAGCAAAATGCCATAAGTGAAATAGAGAGGAACCTGAAATACTTTTTCTTGTATGTAAAAAAAAAGTACAAAAATGCATCCAGCATTGGGCCCTAGCACAAGGGTGATGGAACGTTCACAGATGACAAGGAAGAAATGAGTGAAATACTGAAGCTTCAGTACAATTCTGTTTTCAGTGACCCCTGACCACATTGAAGATCGATGATCCAAATGAATTCTTAATGAATGTGACACCAACATCGAACCACGTATCGGATATCACCATAACCCCACTGGACTTTAAAGTAGGCATGTACAGCATTCCCGTGCATTCTGCATCAGGCCCATACTCGTGAAATTCTATATTCATCAAGAATTGCAAAACCCCACTATCATAGGCCCTAAACATCTTTTGGAGACAGAGCCTGGATACTGGCATCATCCCTGACGTATATAAAACAGCGGAGGCCGCACCACTTTACAAAGGAGGTCATTAAGCAGATGCAAAAAATTATAGACCAATAGCTCTAACCTCACACATAGTCTTTTAAAGAGTACCAAGATGTAAGATTACATATCACATGGAATCACAACATTTACATAACCCTGAACAACACAGGTTCATTACAGGATGCTCCTGCCTCTCAGTTGCTAGATCATTATGACATGACCTTAGTTGCCATGGAAGACAAGCAAAACGCAGATGTGTTAAACACAGACTTTGTAAAAGCTTTCGACAAATGTGACCATGGTGTTATTGCTTACAAAATGTGTGCAAAAGGAATTACTGGCAACTTCCTAACAAACAGAACGTAGATTGTAATAGCACAGTAAAATCCAGATCATCTATTGTGAAAAGCTCAGTCCCCCAAGGTATCGTACTTGCTCCGGTACTTTTTCTCATCCTAATACTGTACTGTACAGTAACAGACATAGACGTGGATACAAACTACAGCAGTCATCATTTGTAGATGACACCAGGACTTTCATGCAAGTAGACAATACAGAGGACACGGCAACCCTCCAATCGGATGTAAATTGGGTCTTTCAATGGACCACATACAATAACATGATGATTAATGAAAATAAGTTCCAGCTCCTACACGATGGAAAAAATGAAAATTGAAAAATTGAAACCATATATAAAATGGAATCTAAACATACCATAGAACAAAAAAAGCAATGTAAAGGACCTAGGAGTAATCATGTCAGAAGACCTTACCTCTACAGAACACCATAAAGTAGCTGTCATGATGCAAGAAAAATGACAGGTTGGATAACAAGGACCTTCCAAACAAGGGATGCCATACCAGTGATACTTTTCAAGACACTGGTTCTCTCAAGCATGGAATATTGTTGCACTCTAACGGCCCCATTCAGAGCCGGTGAAATTGCTGACCTAGAGAGCATGCAAAGAGCCTTTATCGCTAGAATCCACTCTGTCGTCTTAATTATTGGGACCGATTAAAAGTTCTAAATATGGATTCTTTTGAGTGCAGGCGAGAGATACATAATAATCTACATCTGGAAGATTTTTAGAGGGACTGGTTCCAAATCTGAACACAGAAATAACATCACATGAGACCAGTAGACATGGCAGGATGTGCAAAATTCCCCCATTAAAAAGCAGAGGTGCAATAGGTAGGCTGAGGAAGAACTCCATCACCATCAAGGGACCCAAGACTTCTCAACACTCCTGCTGAACATAATTGGCATAACTGGCCCACCTCTCACAGTGTTCAAGGGAGAACTCGACAAACACCTCCAAAAAATACCTGATCAACCAGGCTGTGATTCATATGTCGGGCTGCGAGCAGCCACGTCCAACAGCCTGGTTAACCAAACTAGCAGCTTGGGTTGAGCAGACGAAGCCCTGGTTGGAGACCGGGCCGCGGGGCTGTTGATCCCTGGAAGCTACACGAGGTAGACACAAGATTGGTAGGCAGGCTCCAGCTCCACCTCTTCTGGATTACTGTTCATACATTATTAACCTATGTCACTCACTACCTCACTTTGCCAAAGGCAAAACAGCTCTCATACAACTATAGGAAGACCTCACTGGTCCCTCACACTGCAGCTGTGAGGACAGCAACGATGTCCAGAAAAGGTTCTGCCCCCTGGAAAACGAGATCGCCACTGCTCGTTCGCTGATTGACCAGTAACCCCATCAACACAAGTGATTGGTGGAGGCATCTCCCACCTCCTCAATTTGAGTTTTTACTACCAAAACAATTTTTTCTGATGACCCCTATTTTCCCATACCTCTGCTAAAAAGGCTGCTTGAACTATAATTTCAACATTCCAGTATCATGTTTGGTGTCTTTTGGTGCTTATCATATATTCCTCGTCTTTCCCAATCTGTGTTTCTTTTCTCGGCACCTCTGCATTAAACTTTGTTATAATGGTTGAATAGCTTATGCAACTATTTAGGAGTGGTGGGTCATCAAGTGACAAGTTGGTTTTGGATTGGAGGAGAAATAAAGTCGGGGAGAGCTGCTCCATGTCACGTAATTTCTCATAGAACCTCCATACCTCTGGCTTTCATGTAAGCCACACCATCCTCCTTGGTTTGGCTTCATCTCATCAAGACACGTAAGGGGTACATGTGGCTTTTCTTGGGACACCTAGCATTTGACCATATCCTTTTCACCCCACCATTCCCTACTTACACCAAGGCCCCCCCCCCCCCTTTTTTTTTTTCCCTTGTGGCTCCCTTATGCACTAGGTTTACTTGATAAAGGGTTGCTTCATTGGTTACCCCTCTGGTAAGTTAAATCTGCCTAGGCAGCTTTAACTTACAGGCACAGGAGGCTTGGTCGGGGACTGGGCCGCGGGGACGTTGAGCTCCGAAATCATCACAAGGTAGGCATCTCAAATTTTTGTGACCACCTTCACTGAGACTAGTCCGACAACTGCACTGTATTTTTTCACAACTTTATCATCCGTTATCTTGGTTTCTACACTAGCCACCTTATATTGTGGTTCCATATTTATGTGCTCTTTTCCTAGTGCCCACTCTTTATGAACATCGTCTCCTCGGCACCATCCGTGTACATGTCACACCACATCTCATCAGACTACTCTACCTATGCACATTGGTAAACACAGTTTTTGGTCCCTGGATTGACTTCCTCACCACCTTAGGCCTGCTGGTTGGGCCTTGCTTGGCTAGTGCACTGTTTACGTTTCACCTGGGTGGCGTTCTCATATTCCATGTAGGATTTGAGGGCTATATAGGCAGCTCATGAGTCAGATGGCAAACTGAGATCCTAGTTAACCTGAATTGCCATCTGGTGGTGGCCTGGTGAGCAGAGATAAGGATTGTTTACCCGTTGGCAATTATTGTTTGTTTGGTTTCTTTAATTTCTTTAGAAGCAGTGATTTTTATTTTGCCTGTGACTATGGGCAGTTTGTCTGTGTTGGCTCTGTCTTGAAGTTCCATGATTCCCTGGCATCTTGTTAGTGAACCAGATTTTGATTGTTTTTCAGTAGGCCATGTAAACTTGAAGGGGCCAGATATGATTATGAGGCTCGACAGTTCTTTGCACCAAACTGCCAGGAAGCTATTAAGGACTGTCTGAAAAAGGGTGTCTTATTACATTGAACAGTGTTTTTATATATATATATATATATATATATATATATATATATATATATATATATATATATATATATATATATATATATATATATATATATATAAGGCCCAATATAATGAAAACCTAACCTACCTAACCTAACCTAACCGAACTTTTTCGGCTACCTAACCGAACCTAACCTATAAAGATAGGTTAGGTTAGGTAGGTATTGGTTAGGTATATATCTACGTTATTTTAACTCCAATATTGACCTCTTACATATGAAATGGGTTGCTTTATCATTTCATAAGAAAAAATTTAGAGAAAATATATTAATTCATGAAAACTTGGCTTATTAGGCAAATCGGGCCTTGCATTGTAGGCTGAAAAGTGAGTTCTGGCTACTAGGTACGACATATATATATATATATATATATATATATATATATATATATATATATATATATATATATATATATATATATATATATATATATATATATATATATATATATATATATATATATATATATATATATATATATATATATATATATATATATATATATATATATATAGATATATATATATATATATATATATATATATATATATATATATATATATAATAAATAAAATTCCAGGCAAGTACTAGAGTACTGCCAATTAGTGAAAGTACCTTTAGAAGTTGACATTTCCATCGTTATAGATTCTTATTTGGGCTAATGCTTGGTACTATCTACATTTGGTAATCTGAATTGTGGCACCTACCCTTATTTAAGTTAGCTGAATTTTTTTACCGGGAAAAGTCCAAAAATTAACAAATTTGAATTTGTTCGGGTTTCTCGTTCAGTGCGTCTTTTAATCCGAATTTGCATTTGGGTTAAAAGGTAAACAATCAAATATGAAATCATTTGAATTACTGTACTAGGAGATTCACGATACTGGAATCTGAATTACCAAACTCTTAGAGTATTGTATTAGGCTAGGTGTTTAATGTCATGCTGGTCATGCCAGTAGTACAGAGTAGGGAATGTGGTAGTGGATAGTGCTTCATGTGATATCACTTAAGTGCACCTTTTTAAGGATATTACATTACAACATTATGTTAAACACTTTCGCACACTTGATGCAGTGAAAAAAAACTTGCCCCTTGTGCGTGTGGCATTTCGGGCGATCGAGCGGCAACACTGAAAAGTGTAGACTCTTTTCACTGTCCTGACGTAAATTTTCGATGTACGTATTTCATTTTTGTACCAATATGTTCACAATAGAATGTTTTAGAAGAACATAAGTATAAAATGTCACCAAAATATGAGTTAAAGCAGCACCAAATAAAAAACTACGTCGATCACTAGCCGTGAGCGCCAGACAGCAACGAAATGTTTCTACTATCTTCAGGGTTGTCAACTCTACACTTGGCCTACAGCGTTAATTTTGGTATCACTGAAATCGCAATAAAATTCCCTACGCGGACATATGCATATAAATATAGAATCAATGTCGTAGCCCAATGGTCTTCTCATTGATGCACCATGTTAATGCAATGTCTGTGTGCATTTGAAGTTACCATAGTTATATCCTTGATTGCCCTTGTGATATTGAACCACAGGTAGAATATTTGATGTCATCCCTCAGTAGTTAGGGGTGAAGTAGTTTAATTTTGTATAGGGCTGCTTGCAGAAATTTAATTCTCTAAATTCTGAAACCAATCTAATTATTCCCGTAAGTCAAATGAGACATACTTCAAAGTTTCATTGTCATTGAATGTTACCTTACAAATGTGAGAGGTATTAATGTACTCTTTTTCTTTCCAGGTGCTGTTACAACAAAAAGGAATGAAAAAAGGATCTCCACCTAAACCTGCAACTAGATTGCCATCAACTGAAGAGGATAGAAACAGAGATGCACTAGTCCAAGTACACATGTATAACCAAAGTCAAACGACAAGACTGGAAGGTAGCCGTGGTGTACTTCGCATCAAGGAACGCCTCCCAGAAAAATGGCAGACCAATCCAGTTAACCAGTATGGTGTACAAGAAGGTAACCGAGGGTGTACAGACGGTTTTGAGGATAGTGGCAGTGTGGGTTGTGGGGGTGATAATAGTGAGCTGGGTCATAATCAAACAGTGATAAGTGCAGAAACTACTAAAGTGGGTTGTTCAGAATGTGGTTGTGCTGGTGTACATGCAGTTCCTAGTACTTCAAATGTGAACTTGCCTGACCATAGTCCACATAAAACAGCTTCTAGGGCATTACCACCAACTACTCAAAATTTACCTGCATCTACCCCATTTGATATTGATAGTATAGCTGAAAAATTTTCAGAAAATAGACCAGAAAACAGACCAGGCAGTAGGTCAGAGAAAAGACCTGACAGCCGATCAGAAAACAAGGTAGAAGAAAACTTGGAGAACAGAACAGACATTGTACCAGAAAATAGGCTACATCGGACAGAAGCCAGACTTTTAAAAGATGATATACAGATACCAGTTGTGTCGAGCAGTACCCTGAGTCCAGTAACTGATGGTAAAGGGAAGAAACAGAGAGGAATGAATGGCAGGCTGAAGACGTCAACAGGAATTCTTTCGACTGAAAAAGGTGATAACCGAAGGAGAACAAGATCAAACATTCATGTAACGATAGGAATGGAGATAGAGAATAAAGAGCAAAACCCAGTTGCTTCAAATAATAATAATGAGTGGAAAGAACATCAAGTCAAAGAGGAAAAGGCAGGTTCAAGTAATAAAAGTAGACATTCATTAAGTAATTCGGCATTGGACTCGTCCAATCGTGTGTTGAAGTCAGTTAATCGAGGTACTGCAGAAACTGTAAATCAGAACCCTGCGAAGGTTCTGACCACCAAACGTAAACGAACTTCAGATACGGAAACTGACTCATCAGAAGGACCCATACCAAAATCTGCTAGAGTTCATACTCGCTCACACACTTGGAGTCACAAACCTATGGTAACCAGAAGTCAAGAAAAGACCCACAAAACTCCTGCTAAACTGCCTGCCACCCCAAAGAAATAAGGTGTACAAAGCTTATTTAAGTACTGCCCTAAAATAATTGTCCCAGGAATTGAAAGGAAAATATGCCTTTAATATACTGTACTGTATTATGACTTGCAATATACATTACATACAGTTTTTTCACATTCTGACTGATCTCATGAGATAGATGATGCGAATTTGTGCCCAACTCTTGAGGTGCTAGAACTGTTGCCTGTTTTAAGCTAATTGTTGAATTAGGCATTCTTCTCAGCAATGTGCGTGTAAATATAATTTTTTTTATATTGAATGTAGAATTAAGGTAATGACTTGCTTTAAAATTAAATGTAATTTAAAACAAATTTACAATGTGAATACAGATAAAGTACCTTAGCAGAAATGACGTTTAATTATGTTTGTCATTAATTGGACAAGTTTTTCGGTTCCTCTAGTGAGAGGATGGAATTAGGAGTGCCTTTGAGTAATTTTTTTATTTTTTTTTTTTTTTTTTATTTAAGGGTTCATTCAAAGAATTACATGTTTAATAAAAGTACAAGTTGTGGCTAAGAGTGTGTGTGTGTCTGTGTGTGGAAAGGGAAAGCAGGAGTTGTTTGTGCAAGTTTGGTATGGATACATAGCTAATGCTGCCGAGACTGATTATTTGTCTTGATTACGTTTGTTTATATATTTTTTTAGTTTTAAAGAGGTAATATTTTTCTAAAAATGCTTTCGTGAGTACTGTATGCAATTGGTTGAAAAGTGTTTAATATGTATAGACATGGTGGCTGCAGTGTACGCAAAGACAATTTAATTTATATATAATTTTCAATGCATTTCTGATGCAGCTATCATATTTTATAATCAGAAGTCAATTTTGGGAAATATTTATCAAATTGGGATTAATTATGAATAATTTTTTTATATGTATTTATCAATTTTCATGTGAATTTTTTTTAATGTTTTCCTACTTAAATTTTTCAGTCTGTGTTAATATAATCCATGAATGGATTAAAATATACTTTTAAAGACTGTCTTGCTACCATATTCATTTGAATGTCCAAAGGTTTAGAATGGGCAGAATTATTTGGTTTTCACTTGAATGTTTCCACATTCCCTTAATGTTTGTGGATTAACCATTCATAAAGACAGTTGTGTTGACCCAGGTATAGCAAGGAGATAGTTGGACCAACTTTCACTGTACATATGCTTTAACCTACTGGTAATTTATGATTCTTTAAAAATTTCAGGCATCGGAAATTTTAGCAGTATTATATATCTGCTCGAGCCTGGGATTAGGGTAAATTATGAAATCTTTTTGTAGATATGGATTATATAACTGGCATTTAAAGGTTTTATTTATTTATAATTTTTTAAGTGCACTTTCTTGTTTTTAATGCTGTACTATATTTTTATTTTGCAATGGCATATCTCAAAAAAAGTACCAAGCAGTTTGTTATTTTCAAAAAAAAAAAAAAATGCCAAAGTTGTGCTGTAACCTATATGTACAAAATCAATTTTTAAGTACTGGAATATCTAAGTTATGTGGATATGAAATTGTGTGAATATTTTGATTTATTTTAAAGTATTTGTTGTCTTGCCTTCTTATTACTTTAACAGTAATATATCGAGTGCATATTGTCTTCAATTGAAATCGATCAGGAGGGGGGGGGGACATCCAGAGTACACTTCCTATTACTCAAGATGTATTAAAATAAATGTGATAAATTGTGATCTATCAGTATATCAACATTTGAAAATCTTATTCCTTAAGTTGTCAAAAATACAGTAGATGATTTGATAGTATAGCCTATTTTAAAATTACAAAAATTATAATTGTACATAAGTGTAATTTAGATCCATGGGTTGTAAATATAATATGTATATGAATTATTTGCTTGATTTATTGTTTGCCTTTAAATTTATTGTATTATGGTATAACAAAGTTAGCAGCAAAGGACTGAAGAATGATGACCTGTGTTCCACTGATATTATTCATGACCCAGATTATTTTAAGGCCTGGTACTGCAATTGTTAAGTAATTCACCAACATAATTTTCCAGATGATAATTTGCAAATAAACTAGTAGCTCAGGCAAGTAAGAAAAACAAAAATTTCATGGTCAAAAAAATTAAAATTTAACTGAAACAATTGTTTTCAAATGTATAAATGGAACCTCAAAATTGCCAACTGTAAAAAATTGGCCCATTAGTATTTTTTAAGTCTGTTTCTGATTTCGAAAGTATGCTTAGCAGATTTTTGAGATGGTCAAATTTTGCTGGGTTCCCAGCTACGTATATTGATGTTACCATGAATGTATTTGCAGACGCTGCTGCTAAAGCCATTCATGCTCGTCCCATTTCCCGTATCTGAATTTATACCCACTACAATGTGCATCTATTGGGAAAGTCAGTGGTCTGGCATTAACAACCCCAGTTCGCTGGGGGTTGCAAGTTGCAAGTTCGCTGCTCTTGCTGCTGTCTTTGGCAACATGTCCTGGGCTGACATTCGGGTGAAGGGATTTTGGCAGTCGAACAGAGTCCTGGCTACTCGTTATCTCATGAACGTTCCTGGGCCTAGTCGGGTCTGTGTCACGGGTCGGCGGTTGCAGCCAGTTGTCTCGGCTTTGAGTTGATGAGTGAGTAGCGACCGCCTCCCAGGTAAGTCCCCCTTATTTTTTTTTCTGTGGGTAGTTAGCTCCGGGAAGCCGAAGGGGCTCCCCCCAGAAAACGAGCGTTGAATGTAATGAAACACCATTTTCTGGGTGAGACCCGGAGGCTCCCTGGTTGGCGGTTTTTCGTGTGTTTTGACATCCAGCCTCAGAACTAAATGGTGGATAGCCGGCGTGGGGGTTTGGGGCACCCCCCCCTTCCCCCTTCCGGAAAGGGGGGGAGCTGCGCAGTCAGCGGCGCAGCGACGTGTAACGTCATGCTCGTTTCCTAGTTTCTTTTAGGGGAGTTCTATCAACTTGTTAGGCTTTTGGTAGCAAAATTTTCACCAGAATAGGGGTTTGTTTTGGGATGCTTACCTTTCTGGGTGCCTGACTCAATGGCAGACATAGAATGCTTCCAACCACATGGGGGTTTCTATAGGCCATTGCTCCCCGTGCCTCTCTGAGGGGGCCTGTTTCTGGCCCGTGTGCCCGGTAGGCCCACAGAACTCCATACACATGACTGATGCCAAAGTCTGATATTAGCATATGAGCCTAGTAAGCTCTGGGGAGCCATAGGGGCTCCCCCCAGAAAAGGCTGGGGAGAGGATTGTCATTAGCCATTGCCATTAGCACTGTTTCTGAATTAATAAAGCAGTTAAAAGGTTTTAGAGTTTATTGCTAGAATATTCTGGTGGAAAATGCTCAGTTGTTTAAATTTTGAATTGGATCAGCTAGTTTACAAAGATATGGTTGATCCACAAAGTATTGTACAAAATTCAAATTTTGATTATTTTTTACTTGTATATTATGCAGATCCTTGTTCATATACAGCTTGTGTAAAAATAGGTGCAGTATTCTATCATTTGTGGTAAACCCCCGCAAAAATAGGGAGAAAGCGAAGTACAGTATTTAAGTTTGTAATGGGCCTATCTTCTCTTGAGGTTATCTGCGAGATGATTTCGGGGCTTAGCATCCCAGTCCTCGACCAGGCCTCCTTTTTGTTACACACCCCCAGGAAGCAGCCCATAGCACCTTTCTAACTTCCAGGTACCTATTTACTGCTAGGTAACGGGCATCAGGGTGAAACTCTGCCCATTTGTATCTGCCTTGACCGGGGATCAAATCCAGAACCTCAGGACTACGAATCCGAAGCCCTGTCCACTCAGCTGTCAGGCCTGGAAGCAATTGGTTTGAATTTAATGTATTATAATGTATTCTTTTATGACTGCAATCTGCTGTACAACTGCTTGAAGCAAGGCTTCCAGGACAGACCCAGTATCCTAAATTTGGTTATAAATATTGTAAGGTACACAGTGGAATTATGGCAGAGCATCTCAATGTTAACCACCTGAGACCACCATTGTGGGGTTACAAATGGAGAGATCACAAGTTCATAAAGAGTAAAGAAAATCATTGTAGTATTGAAGCTGTCTGAAAGTTCAAGAGAGTTAAGCACATGATTTATTGGTAAAGAAGGTGTGCCATCAACAGGTGAGAACATGTTTCAGTAGTTGCAAAGTATGAACTAAGCTCATTTGTGATACTAGTTTAGCAATAACAGAAACGTGAAGATGGAGGACTGGTGTTACTGTACATTAAAAAAAAAATCCCATATAATCATGGACCTTAGCATTGTTTTTTAAACAAAATGAAAGATTCTATTGTCCATTGGTGTTGTTTTCAGGCTGCGCTCATATTGAGCAGCACAAGTACATTACAGATTCGGATTCCTTACCAGAGTATAGAGATTCCACCAAGGAGCATATTTTCTCTTGCCCTGGGAAGTACAACACAGGATGGAGTGGAGGGCAGTATTGAGTAAGGTTTATTGAAAGGACAGAAACACTGTGTGCAAAGAACAGGAAAAGATGGTAATGAATTTTCAGTTAGCTATGTCAAAATGCTGCCGAGAATGGAGAAATGGTAGTTGTTATGGAGGTCGTCAAGGACCAGCCAGTCCAGGTAGATGGAATAAGTGCAGAAAGAGAGATTAATAGAGGATAGAAAGTGGAGAGGGGACTTTCATAAGCAGAGCTGTTACAGAGGGAGGACGTTCTTAGAGTCTAGAACAAAAATGTTAGCAGACTCCTAAGAGGAGCACTGTTCACAATGTAGTTTGAAGTGTTGGCTTTATGCTATTCTCTATGCTCTTCGTCTCCTACTTTCCCGGTGTCAATCCTCCTTTGTGGTGGTAGTTGACTCTCGTGCCCTCATGGCTTTAGGGTCCTTTAATCCGGTGGTCATCGAGATTCAACATTGGCTGTTTCCTATCTCCAGTAAATTTCAGTCGGTTGAGTTTTGCTGGGTTCCCAGCCATGTTGGTGTCTTTAAATGAGCGTGCGGATGCTGCCGCTAAGGAAGCTATCCGCACTTGTCCCATCTCCCGTAAAGATATTCCTTATTCTGACTTACCCAGTTATTCATAGGTCAGACTGTAATGATATGGAGGGGGGGGATGAGAAGCATTAGTCAAGGGCTTGGTGATAGCAAGGAAATGATTCCAGAGGGGACCAGAAGAAGGGTGATTCAAGGACTTCTTACAAGTTTATGATATCCTGAAAGAGGTCTAGGTGTTTTAGTTGTTGCCTTGTCTTGGAAAAAGTGATGTCCTCATTTTTGAGGTCCAGGATGGACATGTTCAGACTCACAACACAGTAAGCAAAACAACAGGGAGGACTTTGCAAGTTAAAGCCCCATGGCTAAATTTGCAAATACAGTACTGCATTGCACAGATGTGGGGATAGGACATACTTCAGGATTAAACATTTGACATGAGGTTAATCAAAGGTAGGAGTGCAACTGTCAAAGATACTATATTCAGCAATACATTTAGGGCTAGTATGGTTACCTGTGCCCATCATGGCAGCAGGTTATGGTGTCCACCTGAATCATGAAGTGCATGCCAAAAAAGGAGCCGTCATGGCTATTTTGATCTTTGTCTCTAATGGCAAGATTGGGTGATAGTATCTACAATTACATTTAGCCAGACACTACTGGTGCCCTTTACCGGAACTTCACTGTCATCAAGCATGGTGTTTGGCCCGTTATCAAGACGGGACCTCAATTATGCATGTAGCATTTAAGCCAAGAGACTAAAGCAGCTAGAAATAATTAACAACCATATCTTTATCAGTATAATTAAGATATTAGCAGAAGTCCACATAGGTGCACTAAATGTGGAAGAGCTCAAAGCACGGGTGAATACAATGCCGAGGACTATACGAGAGTATTAAGAGGGGTGTATATGATATTATTATAACAATCATAGAATTAATGAGGAATAGAGCTTGTCGCACTAGGTATGTAGTGGCAGAGGATAGATAGAATCAGGGGGACTAGTGCCATGTCATGGATGAACACACAATACATGGAACCACCAGGGAAACCCCCTTCCCTTATGTAAGGGAGAAATAAATCTTCCTGACAGGCCTGCCACAAGTCTGAGGGAAGAAAAATAGTGAAACATTCATAAGAAATGGAAATTAAAAGGTTGGGCCCAAAAGGATGCAACATAGCAGGACAGCAAGGTCGACAGGAGTACCTCATCCCAGGGATGACATTGATCTTAACGTCATTAAAATTGGTGAGATTTTGCTTCCACAGCCAGCAGGAGTGAAGCAGAAGCCACCTGCCTGAGAACGGTGCACATAAGCCACATCGCCTCAAGGCGAAACCCATTAGGGAAGGGGAGATGAAAGATGAAGAAGATGAAAGTTTCACCTTGAGAAGATGAAAGTTATTATGTACAATACAGCGCTAAATGAGATATTAAATGTGTTTAGTTTTAAAGCCCAAGTTTGATCCCACTGATAATAGCTACTGGTGTGCATGTGGAGTAATGCTTCCTAAACTATGGTGTTCCAAAGATACACACAATTTGTTGTATTATAATATTGCATGAAAGAGGTTTATTTTACTACTGATAATAAAATAATGATTGATTGACAGTTTTAATTGTATGCAATCCTAATGACATACAGAATGCTAGTCAGTTTACATAAAAATATTGTACTCTATCAAGATCTAAGCTCAATGATATGCAGTACAGCAACACTATTACCCAACCAAACATCTTGAATTTTTTGTTTACAATCTTCTGTAACAGTTGGATACTGAAAATACTCAATCATCCAAAGCACAATTTCTTCCTTCCACGAAGCCGAACTTCATTCAAACGCTTTATCACATCTCTAGTAGCAGTACCTCCTATTTTTTCATAGGTGGCTAATAAATGAGCAACAAATGTTTCAGTGTTGGGATGAGTGCTCAAAATGGCTCGCTCTAAAACATAGAGATCAACTGCCTTGTCTTCTGCCCGTTCATCAACGGAGCTAAGTCCAAAGTCAATAAGAATTATGTCTGATAGGTCATAAGGAGGAACCAATAACATATTTGAAGTTGTCAAATCTCCATGGATAACATTATTCATATGCATTTTAACAATGACTTTACCGATTCTTTCTGCCATGTTCATCATATTTGGACTATCCATTTTAAGCTTATTTTTCACAGCTTCATATATATAATTTCTTATTGTTAAGCCATCAATAATTTTCTCAAGAACAATTTCACTTTTGTCAAAATCAACATCATACACAGCAGGTGTTTTAATGCCAAAACTACGGCACCTTGTCAAGGCACGGGCTTCTGCTTTTATCCGCTCACGGGTTATGTAACCATCCAAGTCTGGATGGCGATACTGTTTGGGAAATCGGTGTTTTACAATGACTGAACGTCCAAGCCATTCTGTCGCATACACGCGGCCTTCAGCTCCCTGAGTTACCAGTTCCCGGCTCATCTGAAATATATATAAAAAGTTATTCCCAGAAAAAGCGAACTACTCTGTGAAAGCAAAGATTTCCACTTGGAAGAGACTTGGAAATGCACATTACATAAATAAATACAGTATGAAATGTTCTTACTCCTTTTTCACTTTGATTCCATCACTGCAGACAATTAAAAATGATCTAAATCCTGTATCAAATAAATCATTATGATACATTCACAATTACAATAATTTTTACTGTATTTGGGTATTCTCAAGTATGCCCACTTTTCAATATTTCTAGTTATTTTTAACATTCCCACTTCCTGCCCATAATCTTACAACGTGGCACTAAATGGAATTACAATAGTTGCATACTTTTTCCGATAGCTTCAGTGATGTCCATCAGTACATTTTTACATTATTCTGAAAATTATTTTAAGGCACATACTTTTTTACAGATGTCAATAAATTTAAATTGGAGAGGAAATGTGTACTGTACAGGAAATCCAAAATGAAAACACTAAATACAGCATTGGCACTGCAAGTGACAAATGATTATTGTACAGCAGCGTAAATGTGAGAGTAAGGTAGGATGAAGTTCAGAATGTACTGTGCCGACAAAGCTGATTGAAGTACAGTATTGCAACATGCAGATTCAGAGTCATGCAAATAAGTGCTTTATATAAGTTGACAATGGATTAACAAGGATCTATGTGGATAAGTTCTGCTAATTCTCATGTTTATCTCGTTCTTAGTAGCAAGTTAGGCTTCCACACATGCTACATTCATAATTTCTGGGCTATATTTCTACAACATTGCACATCCCAAGCATTCTGGAATTTGTTGTGCAGAATTTATGATTGAAAATTAGAGGACACATTAAATGTTAATATTAAAATATTTAAGTAATTTCATCAACTATTTCATCAGTACAGTAAATAGTCCTCAAATTCCCCCCCCCCCTCCCAGGCCTGCCTGCGACCCATAATGTTTTGTAAATTTATGACTCTGCCTTGTTTTCTAACTGCTCACATTCATGATCATTGGTGTTCAAGCCATTAGACTTAAAGTCAAAGGATCATTTGATTATTTCTAAACTTTGATTGGCTTTGTTAACTGCAGCCCTTATTTGTTAAGCAACTTTCATAGACTAGTGGATCATAGCTCCTAGGTTCTTTTCTTCATTAATGTGATGCATGATCATATCAATATCAAAGTTATGATTTGTATGGTTATGCTCTCCAATCAAGGTCTTGCATTTTCAATATTGAAAAGCATTTGCCAGTCTTTTGACCATTTGTGGAGTCATGTAGATCACTTTGCAAGACCTCAATATCATTTTTGCTTCCCACTTTACCATAGATTTTTGTGTCACCTGTAAATTTTATAATCAATGTGGTATATAATATTCTTATCTTTATAGTATTTTATTTATTTATATATACAAGAGTTCTTACATTCTTGTACAGCCAATAGCACGCATAACATTTCAGGCAAGTCCTTGATCCTAATTTTCACCCCCCCCCCCAAGAAGCAGCCTGTAACAGCTCTCTAACTCCCAGGTACCTATTTACTGCTAGGTGAACAGAAGAATTGGGGTGAAAGAAACTCTGCCCATTTATTTCTGTCTCTGCCGGGGATCGAACCCGAACCCTGAGCGCTGTTCACTCAGCCATCAGGCCCCCAATATACATACAGTAGTTGATGTATGCAACAAAACAGGTTGATGCGAAGATACAGCCTTGCAATGCACCACTCAACATTTTTCCAGTCAAGTTCATATCCATTTAGGATGACCCTTTACTTTGTATTATCCATCGTTTCATCCATTCTAGCATTTTGCCACTTATTGCACATTCTTGGAATTTCTGTGCTAGTCTTTTATGTGGCGTCTCGTCAAAAGTCGTCTGAGCAGCTAGTTACTGTTTACAAATATGTGAGCTGCTCATATAATTCATGTTATAGTTTTCTGCATCTAACAGTACTGTATTTACAATCCTAAGATTAAACAAGAGTTCATTATTCAAACAGTTCTTCAATTACAGCTGTATATTGTGACATTTTCTGTCCTTCAAAATATGCAGAGGATATGGAGAATATAAAGACCTCTGTATATTTGGAATACAATTAGCAACTAAGACCTGTATAAGATAAAGATATCTAATTACAAACATGGATTTGTTCTGTATAAAACTTAAAATATTATCTCATTGATGTGTAAGGTCTACTGCATATAAATAACCTGAAATAATATGTAACTAGCTCACCACAAATGTAAATTACTCAGTTTGTTGTGGTCTAGTTCTTGAATGCATTATGCTATGACAGACTTGATTATTAATTAAACTGTACAGTATATAGCTTATCAAGACCAACTTGCTCGGATAAATGAATTTGGGGGTTTAATTCCCAGAGCCCATTATGTGCCTCTGTAACCTTTTCCACCACCGTCCACAGGAGGGGTATAGGGTGCCTAATAAATGAAATAAATCAAAACTAAATCGATATTGATTTTATCATTACCAATATGTTTTGCCTACCCGAAACCCTATGCATACTAGTGGCTTTACAAGAATGTAAAATCATTGCTATGTAGTACTTTCTTAACCCCCAATGTACCTTCTTGTATATAAATAAATAAATATAGATAATTATATTTACACACACACACAAAATAATAGTGAACGCTCACACTGTGGTGGGTCCTCCATTATACAGTGCCTCTGTCAGTACTCATCTCAAACTTTCTATGGATGGGAAAGGCAAATCTCGCATGCACCAGTTTCCCTTCTCTGGGGGAGTGTTCAATAACATTTTGAGATATGGTCTAATTCCACTGTTAATTCCGGCTCGTCGTGCCTGGTGGCCCCGTTGATCAGGCCGCGGCGGCCCCCACACCACCTCCCTTACCTTCTCACCTCCATATATACTTACAATGTCGGGAAATTAAGAGTATAGGATGAGAGTGAACTCCAGGAGCTGCTTGGCCCGGCCCGCCAGCTGCTCTAACATAAACACAACGTTATGTTCTTCTTTTTGTTTTGGTATGGGGTGCATAATAAAGAAAGAAATTGAATTAGTCAGCTACTGGGAACAAAAAGTTCCAAGTAGCACGGGCTATGGTGAGCCCGTAAGTAGTGGACTTACCTGGCACAGGAGCGGGGCTGTAAGCTGACTAAATGTATTATACTAATAAATGTGATAATAATGCACTTGCCGTGGTCTAGTGGTAAGACACTCGCCTGGCGTTTCGAGAACACTTTGTACTGGGTTCGTATCCCTGGCCGGGGAGGATTGACCGGGTGCCAGTCCTTGACTGTAGCCTCTGTTCACCCAACAGTAAAGTGGGTACCTGGTTTGTTAAACGATTTGTGGAGTCGTATTGCGGGGAATATTAAGATTAAGGACTTGCCTGAAACGCTATGCGTGCTAGTGGCTGTACAAGAATGTAGGAACTCGTGTATATATAAATAACTAATAATAATAAAAAAATACACCAATACATGAACTTAAAGTTAGTTGGTTTGTTTTTGTATTGAGACAGGTATTTTCTCCCTGTATGACTCACCATCCTGTGAGATGGAACCATTAGATAAACTTATAGCTAGTGTTTAATCTACAATGTGTAATCTTTCATATAGAATATGGTAGCAGCACATTGCTGTATATACCTAACCTTGGTAATTTAAAAAAAATGCAGCAGCCTCAGCTGTCTCATGCAGTACAGGGGCCCAACGTGTATTTAGTATGCGACCTCAGATCCAGGCGCATACACGTTTAACTTTAATTACTGCTGCGTGCATATAATAATTAATTTTCTTAAATATGCTTTATATCTGTGGCAGTCATCGGGAGGATAAACTTTTCATGCAAACTGCACGTTTCCATCAAGAAGAGAAGTTTTATATCTGGATTAATCCAATAAATACCTAGGGTTCATAATACCGAACAGTTATTAACATATATTTATTTTAATAGCATAATATAAACCGGTATTTGGCATATGCTTAGATGATATTTATGTATAAGTGTATATACATATTATGTATGTACTTCAAGCTCTTAAGGTAACGGGAGGTGACGATAAGAGGCTCTAGCAATAATCAGAGCCAGAGTTGAGCGTGACGAGGCTCCCCAAGCACAGTGCCTGGTGTCACACTTGCAACACACACACACTGCCGAGCTCTGGTATTGTGTTGCACGACCAGCGTTGTGTTGCAAGCGCGGGTGTGGGCCGGGATCCCCCTGAGGGAGGCTCAGCGACCCCGCCAGGAGGCTCCCGGCCGTGATCCTCTCTTGTCTGCGGGCGCGGGTGCTGGCGTCTATAGTGAGTATGGCGAGATAGTAGTGCCGTGGCGCTGCCAGAGATGAGGCCAACACTCCACTGACTACAAACACCCGCAAGATGACTTCTATGAAGAAGATTCCTAACGTGCTGGGCACGAGGAGGAGCAACACCCTGGACCAAGAACGGGACCAATTTGAGAGATCACAGGTACTGTGACTTGGTAGTGAGATATAGACGTGTCGCAGAGTGATGTTAAGGACCTGGTAGAGGGGTAGGAAGGAGGATATCCTGTGGGAGGGCGTCGTGCATGGGATGACAGGGTGGGTGGGGCACCTGGCCCACCTCCCACATGCCTCGCCCATCCTCAACACTCCCCACCACTACCTTGGCTCAGCCCAAAAACCTGTAGATAGATTATTAAAGTACAGGTGAATGTGTTGCTGAACTGGAGGTTACATTGAATTTGTGTTGCTTGTTGGAGGAGGACTGCAGTAATCTTGTTGCTAAAGCTGGCGTGTGAACTGTAATAATATTTAGTATTGGATTATTAGGAAGGTTAAATTGCTATATTTACTTTTGTCATGTTGTTTAACTTATTACTATTACCTATAAGATTATTATGACAGTTTTGCTATTCATTAAATAAATTACAAGTGTTCCCCAGTAATAATATCGTGTAGAGTGATATGAGAGGCCTGTATACTTCCACACTGGTGTCAGGACTGTATATATATATATATATATATATATATATATATATATGCATGGGGTTCCAGTGTCAAGATACAAAGTCTTTTTGACTTACAGAGGTGTTCCTTGCCTAGCCAGTGTTTGACCTTTCCCAAGATGAACCAACAGCAGTATCTAATAATAATAATAATAATAATAATAATAATAATAATAATAATTTTATTTAGGAACAGTACATACATAGTTGCAGCATTACAGTACAAACATTGTTAGATTTAAAGATAGAGGTAGTACATACAATACCTAAAGCCACTAGTACGCATAGCGTTTCAGGCAAGTCTCACAAGTCATCCATTTCCTGCTAGGTGATTAATGGCAAGGGTCCAAGGAAACGTGGCCAAATGTCTTGCATGTCTGGGAAGACGAGGCACTACATTACAGGTCCTCTGGTATGGCCTACCATTGTCGATGACAAGAGCCTCTGTTAGGTTTATGTAGGTCACCTTTACATCCATCCCTTTTCGTCAGCTGTGGGACATGACTAGAGAGCAGCCCTGAGATGTTTCAGTCAACATTGTGGTATACAGACGCCATTCTGCTGTTTGGACACTCAGGACTGGAAGCTGCTTATTGCGGTGATGCACTTTCTAATCCCCCCTACAAAATATTTTGAAAAATGCATTACAGTAGAGGTTTGCTAAATATACTAAAGATCACAATACAGGTACATTACATATGAAAATACAGTAGTATTACTGTATTGAATATAGGGAACTAAACAAGTGTAGAGGAAGTGGAGTTTGTTAAAACAAGATATCATTTGAGCTGATGCCTCCCCACCCAACTGATGCCTTACTTATGAAAGTAACAGCACTTAAAAAAATTTAGGCATATTTCAGTTTGTTTTGGCAAGTTAGTAAAACCTCTATTATGTTGTATATTTAACAGGAGATAAGTTATCGTAAAGCTGTTAATGATGAAGAAGTTCCTGTTAAAATGAAGCATGTAAGAAATCTCATCATTGGCACATTCACTGACAAGAATACAGACCTCTTTTGGAGGAATGTTGCAACATGTCCTCCAATCAGTACAGATGTTACTGGCTGGAAATTTTGTCATTGCCTTCATGTTGTCTTCCGTGATGGACACCCAAATGTGCTTCGTGATTCTCAGCGTCATATTAGCCGTATCAAAGACACTGGACAGCACTTTGTAAGTATTTTACTACTCTTTAGTCTTAACAAGTTTAAGATACAAAATTACTTTTCCTCACAGGTAGGGTTTGTGGTATAATAAATTAAATATGCTAAGCTCTCTCCATTAGGTTGCTTCATAACTGAAGGGGAAATGATTGGTATGTTTGTTGGATCTTCATAAGAAAAAGTATATATTAGTACTGTATATATTAGAACTTATTTTTTCATAATTTTTATTTATTAAATGGAGATAACAATGGTATTGATTTTGTTTATTTTTTTTTTTTTTTTCCTTTTGGTTTCCATAAAATTTTTTGAAGTATTATCACATCAACTTCAAATTTAAAACACCGTAAAGCATTTAAGTTTGAGCCAAAATATATGGTTATTTAAAATGATCCGATGTTACCCAATAGCATCTTTCATTTAATTTTTGTGTAATATAGTGAGAGACTCGCATTGTATTGATGCAAAAACAAACAATACTATTCTTATGTATACATAGTTGTAAAATGTAACTATCTTCTGTTATTGGACAGCATCAGTAACTACTATGTATTTACATAATGTATACTGTATGTTTTCAGATTGTTGGGGACACAAAGTCTGTTAAGCTAATTGAGAATGTCTTATCTCTTAAGCTTATTGAGAATGTCTTATCTCTTAAGCTTTTAACATCATATCACTCCTCCCTTGTGCCTGCTCATGCTACTGTCAAGTACAGTTTTTTTTGCATGCATACTGTATTTCCTCTGGCTATTGCCAGTTTTGCTCAGTGTAATGGTCCTTGTCTTTCAGTTGTTTCTGTGGGAGTGGGGTGGGCTTTTGTGCTTTGTGTACAATCCATTGGCCCGAATTGAACGTTTGGTGCATTTTTTCTGTCGGTCACAGGCTGAAGATTGGGCTTGTTAAGATTGTTGGTGGATATTGCAACTGTATATACACTAATAAGGAATGACAATTTCATGGGGAGATACACAATGTATTAGTTAAATTGCAAGCCTGAAAAGTGTGCCGAGATAGTTTGGCAGTATTAAATGAAGGTATGATGGTAGACTGGTGATGAATGTGTAATTAAAGTTAACAGTGAGGAGAAAGAGAGGCTTGGAAAAAGCTGGAGAGATATAATTAATTAGTTTTTAATAAAAATTAAGGGTTAATGCTGAGAGGAAGCAGTTTGTAAGGTTTAATGCTGAGAGGAAGCAGTTTGTAAGGAAGGAGGAAATGTATTTATACTGTACAGTATATGACAGTTCATGATGAGTCATCTTATAACAGGTCTTGTGAAGTGGTTAATACTCCTGTGGGTAAGTGCAAGAGTGTACTGGTGCGTGTTTATTCGTAATGCTATACGCTGTATGATGTAAGAGCTCAGTAATCCGAACTCTAGTAACCTGAGTCTTATGGTAATCCAAATGAATTTGTTTTTATGGGTAAAGGGCAGGAGTAAGCAGGTAAAGGATAAAACTGTGAGGACAAATAGTGGGAGTAACTTGGATGTAGTACAGAACAAAAAATGAATTTCTGTAATTTTTGGACAATCCTGGTAAGACTAAATCGAATGTTCAGTTAACTGAAATAGGAGTGGGCTCCATATGATTAAATAAATATAAATAAATTTTTATTCAGGTAAGGTACATACATACAAGGTAAGATACAAAATGGACTTATAGATGGAGCTAGTACATACAATGCCTAAAGCCACTATTACCCAAAGCGTTTTGGGCAGCAGATTCATATTACCAAGTATAGACAGTATAGTACTTTCGTGTGAATGATAAATAGATGATAGCTTTTGTTTAAATCTATAATCTTGTTTCATTATAACTTTCTATTTTTCATCTGGACTTGTTTCCACACCCCATTAAAATGGGAATTGGGTAATGATGTGTGTTTTGAGATGTTTGGTAGGGTATTGGGAATAACTGCTTCACTCATCGCAGTTTTATTTAGGTACAGTATATTATTTTAATTACAGCCTAGTAATTTGTTTAGCAAGTAAAATTGATTGTAACATAAACTAATCAGCCCTCACTTGCCAGAGACACCTCGCACATGGCTACGGACGACTTATCAGTCATTACTGTGAATTACTGATTGCCAAGTTGAAGTTCCATCAACATTATCCTCAATTTCCGGGTTCATTGTTTGTGACACCAGAAGAATTAGAAGCCCTTGCAGAAAATGATGCTAATAATTAGTAAGTTATGATATTTATAATGTCTCAATATTAACTATTTTCTCTTTGATGCTTTGTTAATTTTGGAGTTAATCTTTTTGATGGCGATACTGTATCTTCTTTTATCCAGCAGGAAAATGCCTTGCAAAATTTTTGGACTATTCCATGTTCATGTTATTGCTTGTCTTAATTTTACCCTTCCTTATTTCCTTAAAATATGCTCAATCCTCGTTTAAATTTAGTAATTATTCTTTGCACATCTACAGTATACTAATGGGATGTTTGGTCCATTTTTTAAGCAAAATCCAACTCTCAGGCCTAGCATAGGTTATGTTAGGTCTAACATAAGTTGTGCTAGGCCTAGGGTAGATTATGTTAAGTCTAAAATAAATAAGGCCATGTTTTCATATTTTCTTTAATCTGGCCTTTGCATGTTTTCATTGATTTTTCAATAGGAAAGATGACAAACTGTTATATTCCTTTTACAGTCCATATTTTTATCTATGCATGTCTCAGTAGTTATATGATTATCAGTCAGCAGCAATGAAAATTTACCTTGTTTAACTTGAGGTCTGATTTCCTCCAAGCAGTTGCTTGTTTAATTACATCTATGCTTCTGGTGGGTGTTCACCAGTTTTGTGGTTAATATCTAATTTCCTGTTTCCCCTCACTTCATAAGAGCCACCCAGATTCTGCTCCTGGCTCACAGAAACAGTAAATGAGTCTTGGAGTCGTAGTGTGTTAGGCTTTGGGCTAAGATTTGGTAGTACCAGAGCCAAGCTTGGGAAGCTTCTGGGGGCCCACCAGAAAAATGTGTTGGATTACATTAAATGTTTGATACATTTTCTTGGGGTAGGGGATTATTTTGTCTAACAGTTCTGTTAAATTTTGATTAATTGTGCTGTTTCCATATAATGTATCAAATTAACCCAGCCCACACATGACAGACAAAGAGACAATGTTTTGTGCCCATCTGGGACCCTTATCAAGTTGTTGCTTTCTTGTCATACATGTGTGGATTGGGTTATTTGTTTTAAGTCATATTATTGTGATCTGACCCTTCTTATGCTGTGGCCACTTCAGTTTCTTTTAACCCGTGAACTGCACAAGATTTACAGTACTTGCTATAAAAAAAAGATACCAAAAAAATCAGCATTTTTTGTCTTTCTATATTAAAAATTATGCCTTAGCATAGGAAAAAGGAATAAAAAATTAATGATCATAAATTACTTACTTTGGATCTAGTGAACAATGAAAACTCATTATGTTTTTTTAGAAAATGAGGCAGACTACCTAGCTGGCTCACTATCAGAATTGTTAGTTACAGGCTTATATGTCCAGTTTTACATTAATTTTCTTGTTAAAGTGATATCTCTGAAAGTCACACTCCTGGATTAGGAGCCACAGCAAAACTAAAATTATTAGAACTTGTTTTCCCAACATCAGAGATAAATGTTTTATGATACAAAAAGTAGAAATAATTTTTATTGATTTTTATTTTATGCACAATGCAAAAATGAACTAAAAATGGGTATACAGGCTAAGGGTATATGGAAGCCTTGGGCATCTATTGTGACCCCCATATACCTGCAGAGTTTCAAATGTTGCTAGATACCAAAAAACATCTCATGGTGGTGTATGCACTGTGGGTTGAACATCTGAGTATGGTATGTGCAATATGTGTGTTAACAAGGCCTACAAATGTATGGAGGCCTTCTCCTTTCACATGAAACAAACTGGTACTACCTGAGATAGTTAATTGGAGTGAGGGTCTTCTATATTATGTTATCTTTTCTTCACCGCATTCAAAAATGTGAAAATGTGATCTCATATTTACTTAAAAAGTTTTCCCAACTTGTTTACATATCCTCCTATTAGGTATTTGTAATCAGGACACTGGGTTTTGTTGTTTGATTATCTACCACTGATAATATTGACTTAAAATTAAAGTACAGTACTCAAATTTGAGCAGAAAATTATGACTCGCATTTAAATTTAGCAAAGTAGCCTAGTGTTAACTTTTTTGTGTTCATTTGTGTGAGCTTCCTTCAGTGGGCTCTTTGTATTGACGTAAAATTGATATTATTTAAAGTATGATGATAAAACTATGGTTCTTTTTATTATTGGGCAGTGTGAGTGCCATGGCAACAATTGTATTTGAACTATCCCACTTTGTTGTTCCCTGAAGAAAGGTCATTGTTGGCTCTATTGGAGCAAATAATAATTATGCACAATCAGAACAGTTTGGTAATGTGAACAAGTATAAGAAGAATCTTTTTCAGAAGGGCCCCTGTTTGATCATACTGGGGTAACGGTGATACTAGGGAGAGTATTTAATGCAGACTTGACTGACCTCTGGAAGGTTCATTCCTATACACTCAAAGGCTTTGAAAGCATTGTAGGTCACCACATAACTATCCACCAGTTTGTCCGCTTAATTGTTATCCGAAACCACAATCAAGTGGCATCACTTGACACCATAACAGGGTTCTATGATTATTCTCACAATCTTCATTACAGTACTTGTTTCTGTGTCAGTTGACAACAGCAAAGGCCATAATTCAGTCAAGTAATTTGTGCTTAGCCGTAGAAACTTGGTTTCATTGTGCTGTATGTGAATGCTAGTATTGGTCAAGAATAGCATTCTGCTTTCCTTTCATTGTTTGCTATTATTCAGCAATACAGGGATGGGCAACTCTGTGCATAGTGCAGTTTAGCAAAAGAAGAGGTAGTAGCGGCCTATGTTTTCTGTTACTCTAATGGTGGTTAAGCTCCCTGACAGGATTCAGCAGCTGTCCCATTAATTTTGTCTGGTTAAGGTGGTGGCTGGCCTGAGGCATTGCTTAGCTCTTGCAATGACACATGAGTTTTAGCCTTGATGTTTTAATTACATTTCCAGTAAGACAAAATTCTAATATTTCCAAGTACAGTATTACAAAAAATCACGGTGAAACTTTTTTTAAAAGCCCCAAAAATTTTGTTTAAGCTATCATTTTTAATAGAAAATATGGTCCAATTGAAAACTAGGCTGTATTTCTTTCAGAACTGTCATTATAAATAATAGTGAAAAGATATTTTTTATATATTTTTCTGTTACATTTCTAATACCTGGCAGTGTTTTTTTTATATATACTCAGAAATATCATCGAATGTTTTTTTTAGACAATAAAAAGAATGAACTTCAATTTTTTATTTTTTATTTTTATGTACAATAATAATAAATTGAGTAAAATGTTCAATATATGACCCATACATATGGACTGTGGGAGAATGCAAGTGAGTCTAAATATACTCTAGAGATGATCTGAGATATGGTTACTTTAATTCAACCCTGACAAATACTGTATGTCACATACATCTTATAACTCGAGTATACAACCTAAAACATACTGTACTATATACAACTAGAGTACAGTATATATACAGTATGTTTTAGAAATCCAACCCCAGCTTGGATTTCTAAAACAAACAAATATGACTAGACTGCATTGACCATAGTTGTACTGGATTTGAGTGAAGTGAACCATGTTCAGTACTGTAGAGCAAAAAGCTCTTGAGAAGTGAAACTCACCACACTGGATAAAGGCAGAAGCAGGGGGAAGTGATAACCAACAAATTAAATAGGACTTGACAAAATAGATAAAAGTAGCTTTGTTTAAAATTAATTAGTGGGCTTTAATGTAAACAGTTAAACAGTGCAGTCATCCTACCAGTGGTGAGGGTAGTGGGTAAAGGGGCTGTCTGCAGGCCTTTCGAGAAGTTTGAGCCAGGGGAAGCCTGGGCTTTACGGTCGATGTTTTGGTGCGTTTCATGGATGTAGTTTCCTTGGAACCTACCTAAGCAATGTGCAGTCTTTTACTCCATTAATCTATATCTGCATTTAGAAGATGTTGGCTAAGAGGGTGAGTGGGAGACTTGCTCATTGTGGTTCCAGTCCCTTTTTTTTTTTTCTTGTGTTGGAGGAGGACTCTGCTAAAAGTTATATGATCCCCTACTTCTCTGGGGTTAGTTCCCACATACCTCATCAAACCTTCTGTACGACTACTGTGTTTGTAGTTGTGAAGTGGTTCGGTGTCATTTGTGGTCCAGTTCCATGAATCTCAAGAACATTACAGTACTGGTATATCCCTATCCATCCGAGATTTAGGGATTGGATAGGGTTCCGGGCTAGGAACATGTAGCATTTTTGGGTGCTCTACTCCTGAACTAGGTTCTCAGAACTTTTGTCTAGAATTGGTTTTGTTCATTGGTTATTCATTATTAATTGTTTTTTCCTGGCAACCAGAGATTTTTGTGTTATTAGCGCTGGGCAAATTTGTCTGTCTGGTGAGGCAACTAAAATCCTTACTCCAGGCAATATGACCTACTTTAGGAAGTGCTATCACATTTCATTGAGATCTCAAGTGCCTCCTTGGTTATCTCAGTTTCTGTTGCATAATGTATCCTTTGGGCTTTGTTTACTGATGCATTGAACCACAGTACTTCCTTTTGCTTCATTGCTTGCTGGTCTGCCTTTGAGATCTCAAAGATCTCAAAGATCTTTGAGATTTCAGATGGTTTCATCTGAAATCTCCAGAATTGGGTGTTCTGGTAGCAGCTAACTCTGTTGTATGATTGCGATGTTTTTTGCGGTGGAGATTTTCAGTCTGCTGAATGCAAGGTAAATCATCTTGGTTCTTTCAATGATTTCGAGGATCAATGTCCCCATAGCCTTGTCTCTGACCAGGTCTCGGTTGATGGTCTGTCATCCAGGCTGTTTGACATGGTTGCTCTCAGCCTAACGTACGATTTACAGCCTGTTTGATCAGGTATTCTTTGAAGGTGTTTCTTAGGTTCCCATCTGAACACTTGAGAGTTTGGTCAGTTATGCCCCTTGTGTGTAAAGGGAGTGTGTCGAAAAGTCTTGGGCCTCTGATGTTGATAGTTTTCTCTCAGCATACCTTTTGTACCTCTGCTTCTCTATGGGGGCTACTTTGCACATCCTGCCAGTAGAGTCAGGATATATACTCCTTTTGCATGTTATTATGCCAGTGCAGCCACTATTGAGGAAAATTGTGGCTAGCAACCAGGCATGCCAACTAGCAATTATCTGAGCACATGTTGATGTTAAATATTGCTTTGAAAGGTTTGGATTTAATTAATAGAGCATTCTGGAGATAATTTTGGTCTAGATTGAGAACTCTTCAGATTTCTTTGCACCGGTATGATCTGATGATTGAAAAGATTCTCATTGCTGCATGTCGCTCTGCTCTGGCTGTACTTAGTCTTGTCCATGAGGGACAGCAGAACCTTGCCTAAGGAAGAAACTGTGCCTTACTCATAAGGGAACTTTTTATCTACACTTCAATCTAATTTTTGCAAACTTTATGTTCTCAAGGTCTTCACATGATCACATGTCCTTTATATTTTTTGTTTATTCCATTGCATTTCTGTTGATTGCAACACCTATTTCAGAACTATATAATTCTTTACAGTTTTGAGTTGGCAGTTGAAATGTTGGAGTACATGGAATGCATCTTGAATCTGTATGAAGCAGGTATGTTGATTTGAACATTTAGTTTTCTTAAATACAAAATCTTTGCCCATTTTATTTTGATTTTACAGCGCATAAACACAAATTATTTGTATACATTGATTTATAATATGCAGATACTCGCAAACAATATTTTTCCACATAAATTTATTACAGTACATAACATTTTATATTTCATATCAACACCTTAATTTCTGAGTGATATTACTAGGCTGCTTCCTTAAACAAGGTCCAGCTGTGCCCATGGGCAGGATTGTGCACAGTCAGGACAGGTAGACATTTTATTCTGGTACATTAGAGGTATTTTATAACATCCTTCGAGACCACACAAGTTGCAAGGGGAAACTGGATAATTCTCAATTCAGCCCTGAGTGACCTTCAGAAGAATAATTCATCTATACTTAACCCCTTTTGAGCACTACTTGGCATCAAAGAAACTGCGAAGGGACCGCTCATCAACATTGTTAATTGGTAAATTAATCTACCTGTCTACTACCTCAAACACCACCAGGTCTCAACACCAACATGTTAACAGGGTAGCCTCTGCCCACTCAACATTTTTTCCGACTGTTCCTCTATGCACTTTGAGCTGGCAGATCGCTAATATTTCATTTTGCAGTGTGCTCAAGTTATTAGTGGAAAATTTTTGTATGCATCAATGCACAGTTGTTGTATATCTGAATTCAGTAACCAACCAAAATTGCAATTTAGTGCTTCAGAAGTAAAATTCTTATTTTGAATTTTGTCACTTATGATTCTTGAGACTTTGGGGAAAAGGTGTTAGTGCTGGGCATGCATATATGATGTACGTTCTGTTGCATGTAACCTTTGTATTATACAGTACAGTACTGTATACAGTTTGTTCATTTTACTTAACCCTTAAACCACGCACATTGTATATATACAATTTGAGTAACTGTCACCAAACTGCACACATCGTATATATACAATTGAGGGTGCCGTGCATGATTTAAATGTCCCGCGGCTACACAGGGTTCACATCAGCTAGCTTCCTCAGGGTTCTAGTAAACAGACGCCATTTTAAAAAAAATATCGTGGGTAACATTCCTGGGTGTGAGAGCCTCAGTATTGAGTGAGCAACCAAGGCAACCAAGGTTTCAAGGCTGGTGCATGTAGCATGAGCTAACAGCATTGCTTTTCAGCTTGTGACTACACAGCATTGTCTAAAAAGTCAAAATATATGTGTAACTGCAATTATTTAGCGATGACAGTATCACAGAAGTCCCCTGCCTGTGATAAAAATGACCAGGGTTCTGATAATAGCGGGATTGCGGTGATAATTACCGCTGTGCGTATTATGGTGGCAGCCACTCTTATTGTTTTGACTCACCATACCAACTTAGTGGTTCATTATGGTGATCAAAACATGCAGATTCTTATATATAACCTGTATTTATAGTGTAATAGCAGGGAAAACTATTTGTTTATTGTCTTATGAACATAATTGAATCATTAATATGCACACCATACTTTTGGGTATAGTGAGGGTTCACACATTTTATTATATAAATATATGACACTGCACACTATTGAATAATATTACTGCAAAAAAAAAAAAAAGGAAAAATCAGAGACATTGAAATAATTAGATAATAACATCTTTATGGCAACTCCCGCCTGACAGCTCGGGCGGAGCTGACTGCCTCTGATGCTTACTCTGTCAACACCTCAATTTTGCCTGACTTCCTCGCCCTATTGCGGCCAAAAATGTCACCAGCGATTTCATATGGTAACAAATGGGTAGAGTTTCTTTCACCCTGATGCATCTGTTCACTTAGCAGTAAATAGATACCTGGGAGTTAAACAGCTGCTACGGACTGTTTCCTGGTGGTGTGTGTGCGTGTTTAAAAATTGGGATTAAGGACTTGCTCGAAACGCAGTGTGTGCTGGTGGCTGTACAAGAATGTAAAAACTCTTGTGTATGTATAAATAAAAAAAAAAATAAAAAAAATATATGCTATATTAGTCTGGGGTATCAGTCAGTTGGAGTGCTGCCTATCGGGGACCACGAGCCAAAACCTGGCCCCACCCTCAGAGAGGCACAAGGAGCAATGGCCTATGGAACTCCTTACCTCTATGTTTGGGAACATTACATGTCTCATCGACCGGGGTTAGGTACCCAGAAAGGTAGGCATAACAACAAACCCCACCTGGTAAGAAATTGCAACTGAAGACCGAACAGAGACAGAACTCCCACCAAAACATAAGGAAACAAGCAAACAAGAAAATGTCAATCACTGCAGCCATGCCACTTGTCTGTGCAGCCCTTCCCTCCCTGGGAGGGGAAAGGGGAAAGCCCCCTCGGACCTCCGCATCAGCTACTCTCACCTTCAGTTCGTTGGCTGATGCACTCTGGGGTAGTCGTTGACTCTGGCCTCGATTTCTTGGTAGTATTTGTGCCTTAGTACTGTATCCTGCTGTTTGTGGTGCCAAGTGAAATTAGAGTACTGGGGCTGCATGCGTTTAGGGCTGCCTTCCCTAAGTGCCCTGTAAGTACTACCCTTGGGTTCTAGGGGTTATCTTCCATAGGGCCTTTGAGACTCCACTTCCATAGGGGTTCTCACTGCTCAGCATTTACCCCACCTTTGGGGCTAACTGGGGTTTTCTTTGCTTTTGTTTGGCCTCGAGTAGGAAGTGGTATTGTTGCTGGTTGGAGCGCAAAGTGCTGCGCAGCTTGCCTACCTGTGTGACGGCCGTGTTCCTGTTCCTTCTGGTGACATTGTACTTTTGCGGGGTTTTTCTTTTATTTTTCTTGCCAGGAGGGGGTCTGTCTTGTTTGGCTATTAGTCCACTTATTGTATATTGGCGGCCCTCCTCTAGGCCCCCGTGCTTATTACACGTCTCAGTGGTTCAGTTTTTAGCTCATCCCCCCTCGTTAGCTTTTGAATTAACCAGCTTAGCAGTACCTTGCCTGAGCTTCTTGTAGCAGATAGCCTATGGACCCTGGAAAACCTTGTCAGGCTCAGTTTACTAATGGATGTGTCTTTTGAGTTCCACCTTGCCTTGTACGGGTTTGAAGGTTGCTCTGTGCCCTTGTCTCGGGGTGACAGTCACCGCTTTTTGCCTCCGTCATGCTGCCTGTTGGGTCAATGACACCTTTGACCCGGAGTCTTGCGAGATGTGTTCTCTGCCTATGCTCCAATTTACCCATTCTATTGTCACTGAGGTTTTGGTACAGGCGGCATCTGCGTTGCATTCTCGATTTAGGTTATTGCAACGCGCTAGGTTGGTTGCCCACTTGGATGCCTCAGGGCTGTCCCGTTTTGGTTAACCCCTGCACTGCGCACCTGTTTTTGCCAAAAACTTCATAGTGCAATTGTTAAGGACATATTTTGTTGTTTTTATAAATGTTCAGGTAAAGTTAATGTCAAAATGTTTCCAAACTCAACTATTTTAATTTTAAGCCACAAAGAATAATGAAAACATTAAAAAACATTAAAATATAGATTACTGTATGACAAAGTGTGTGAATGGTCTTCTATATGAATGAGAGAACACATGGACTGGTGAGGGTAAATGTGCTTCTTTATCCCTGACTAAAAGTTCCGTAGGCCTTTACCTCCATTCAGTAAGTCACAATAAAGGAAAAGGATGTTACAGGATTTTATTTTGTGTGCAATATACCAGTTATGAATTTGACATTATTTGAGAAATAATATTTATAAGAGGAAAAATGTGTGTTGGTGTATTTTGTGATACAGGTATTCTACTGTATGGTTTAAATAAGTGCCTGTCATTCCTGTACTATACAGCATTAATGCTTGCCACTACCCAGTGTCTGCTGGGTAGTGGCAAGTTATATAATTTACAAATGGTTATAAAATTTACCAATTTTATTGAAGTGGAAAGTGAAGTAAAGGTTTAGTGACGAAAAACTGGGAACAGCTGGGAGGGATAGTGTGGCGTTGCTGACCATCTGTATGCTGCTTAATAGTGTTTACTGTTTTTCAGTGTTTTCCTCACTGGATCCATCAAGAGCCAATTCCATGACACGTTCTGGTCAGTGCCGCCTGGCTCCATTAATCCCATGTATTCAAGATTCTTCATGCCTTTATGACTGTACTGTCAGGATCTTATTTCAGCTTCACAAAGGTGTGTGTGTATGAATTTCTTCTTACATTTTTTAAATGCCTGTACTGTACATTATTTTTTATGTTAAGTTCAGATTCATGTTATTTAATAATTGCATGTATACTGTACTAACCAAAAATCTTATGAATATCAGTCTTGCATGGAGAGTATTTGTAGATGCTGCTCAAGTAATGCTTGTATTGCTCTCAAATATGAATGTAGGAAGATTTAGAAAGAAAAACCTGACTTGCATCTCTGATAGTTTAGAGTTTATTAATTATTGTTTAGAATAGTTTTAAAATCCTTTAATATTGTATTGCCATTATGTTCAATCTTTTTATGTATTGAAGGTAGCATGCTTGTTAAAATTTGTATCAGAATTTTATTTTAACATTTAGGTAAGGTATTCCACAGTATTGTACAGAGCAGCTTCAATTTCGCAAACTCTATGGGAGCCAACCCCGAGTCGCTGGAGTGAGGGAGTCATTGCATCTAGAGGTGCCTTTTGGATTTATTGAAATTTTAAGATTTTTTTTTTTTTTTTTTTTTTTTTTTTTTTTTTTTTAAGACAAAGATTCAGCTGTTTTTTCTTATGTTGCTTCCATATATGAAAATCATTTAAAATGTGATTGAAGCCATATTAAAGAGTTATCATTCATACCCAAATATTTCCTATACTCTATGAACTGAGTTCATTTAGGAAAATTTTAATTTCAACCTATCACAAACGGACAACTACCACAAGAATTGGTCTTTAAAAAGATTTCCTCACATTCAGCATATTTCCCATACCTCAACCTTGAAACATCATTTTGATGTTTATCTCAAACAACATAAACAGTGAAATTGTTTGGAAAAGGATCTCAATGGCTTTCTTACATGCAAGATTAGTTTAGTGTTGCAAAGATTGCATATAAAAGCATATGAATGAATAAATTTGCAGAAGGCCTTTGTACCATTCAAGGCAGTTCCTATTTTTATGCAACCTCTCATGTTCACTGATTACTCATTAATTTGGTCCTCATTAATCTGAATCTCTGGGTAAATCGTCCAAAATTATGACCGAGTTATGTTGTTATATTAGAAAGGAAATGGAAAAGGAGCTTAGCGACCAAAATTGGGAGGACAGTTAACTGTCCATCACCTTTGAATACACTACAAATTTTGCTGGAAATTTTGTGTTCCACAGAAGTGTATAAAATTCTAAATGTAATTCTGCATTACTACTAAAATTATTTTAGGCAGTTTATCTGAGGCATAAATCTTTATCTTTTTTTCCATAATGCCACCAAATACTTTTATTGTATAAAATTTATGCTGTTATAAGTTTGGAGTTTTTGTTTTAGTCAAGAGATCAATGAAGACTTAAAATGCATGCTAGTGTAGATTGAGGTTGACATCTTACAAAGTTTTCTTACCAGTTGAATGTGATGAAAACTATTGCTGCTGCTGTTCTTTTTATGTTCTTTGTCATAAACACAACACATTTTTATAGATGCTAATAGTGTCTACACAACTATCTTTTCAGTTCCCAGCAAATATAAGCCCACATTTAAATGTAAGTCTCTTAATATAATTAAAGAGCCTTCTTTGGGAAATGGAGGGGCTTGACGTTAATATTGTTTTGATAAGCAGAGTAAAGTCTCATTTTAACACATCTTGTATAACAAGTGTCACATAAATGACATTTTAGAAATTTTCAGTACCATGTCACCTTTATCTTTAAAATATTAACTGTTGCAGAGAACTTTTTTTTTTTTTTGGCAAGGTTGAAAACTTTTCCACTAGTATATTTCTTTGAGCTAACTGATGGCAGTCGTTCCAGAAAAGACTCGACTCTCTGGTTGGTTGGTGCCCAATATAACTATTTTACTTGTTTGGTATGTATGGCAATGTCACTCATATATGCCATTTTCTCCTCAGTTTAAATTCTCATCCCCATATAGTAGCATTGCTCTTAAATTTATTATGTTGATTTGGCATGAGTAGGTAGTTTATAGATATTCAAATGTGGACCCACATTAAACTCTGAAGAACTTAATGAAGAGCTTAAAAATAATAAAATAAGTGAGTGCATAAGGTCATGAAATACATGTCAATAAAAAGGCATCAGCCCAGGAAACATTTTCACTATGCCACGGGCTGAATTGAATTGTTCAAATGAGGCTTTACTATATATATGCTTTTTAAGATTTTATTTCTTCTTTGCTGAAAATACTTTTTTTTTTTTTTTTTCTGCACCGTGTATTGTGTATTGTATTAATTATTTTTTGCAAAAGGATTTCTTAATTTGATTTCATTGATGATTTACATATTCAATATCTGCTTGCTCCTAGAATCATATTCAATACAATTTTTGTTTTCTTTGAATATATTATTTAATTGCTTTGCTATCAAGTACCGCTAATCGTCCCTGTAATTTTACTTTGCTTTGTATTTGTTGTAATTTTGTTTACAGACGTCTTATATTTTAATGTCATTGTCATATACAGTATGTCAATGTCAATGTCATTGTCATAAGGAAGTTGTCATCAGTATAACAGGTTTTGATATGCAGGTAAAGTTGGTTTATTGTATTAAATTATGAAGCGGTCCATCGGTCTGTTATCATTTCATAAGTATTAACTTTTAAATTATTCCTTCATTGCATTTGTGCTTAGATGTATTCCATATTTTTGTGGCATTAATACTTACAAAAAAATTAATATTTTTATTAATGTCATTCCAAAGTCAGTTACTGTAGATAGAAATTGGAAAGCTGCATTTTTAGTAATTAAGGTAGCCAGACCATATCTGGCTGCCTGTACTATCATTATTTAGGCTGGGGTACGGGAGGAATGAATGATCATGTTTGTGTCACATACAAAAGTAATGCAGAGTTTGTGTGAGGGGGCACTCTTGTAGTATCTTAGAGCAGCCAGTAGAGAAATTAAGCCTCGGGCATATCTTGACTCTGGCTTGCTGTTACAACTTGCCTGGATAACTTTAATTGGGCATATTGTTTTTGGAAACATGTTATTGTACAATACTCAAGAAAACCAATGATGAGAATGGCATTGTTATCTATATTAATTTTCTGCTGAATGTATTTAATATTGATGCCATAAATACGGAATACAAAATTAGAATGAACTACGGTTTAACTAAAAGAGGTTGTTAATTAACATATTATGGTACTGGTACTTAAAAATGATTATACCAATTCAGCTCTTCCTACGGACATGCTCAGTGGCCATCGTACAAGGTTCTACAAACAATTCCAGCAGCTCCAACAGTTCTACAACAACACTCGAAACCTTCAATACTTCAAGGGGCTCATTCAGGTGCCTGCATTGCCTCAGGTAATATTCAGTTTATTTTAAGGAGAGTAGAGATGTACAGTATTACAAAATGGTGGCATTAATGTAATGTTCCTCAGTCATGAAGGTGTTAGTGCCAGGGTAAAAAAAAAAAGGTAAAACCAATAGGATTGCAGTACTCTTAAAAAACAGCTTTAGTAATCAGGCATGAATGTGAAGGGAAGTATTCAGGAGAGAAGTGTGATTTTATAACAATTTTTATTATATTATTAACTATTTTTTCCTTTGTACCATTGATGCCAGTATAGTACTGTGCTTCCTATGAATACGTGTACTGTACTATAATCTCTGGCATCAAACATGGCTTCATACTGTGCTAATATTCAGTTCAGATTAAAAAAAAACACAATGCCAACATTACAGTACATTGCTGCCACCATCAACATCTGGGTTGGTCCAGACTTTAATTTGCTTCTTCTGAGAAGTTAATTAATAATGTCCAAGCTGCATCGGCCTCAACGTACATTGTATGTAACGTGGCCTTCCACTTCTTCACGGGTAAATCTTTCAGCAGTCTACCCATCTGATGTCCTACACTACCTCGTACTAGCATCCCATTCCTCATCTGCACATCTAGCCTTCAGATTGGCTTAGCTAGACATGATGTCACCTCATGATTGGGGAAAAAGCAGTCTTGCCACTTTCATCTTTACAGTGCCATTAATTTAGGCAGGAATGCTATACATCAAGCTATGGCTTTACTTTTCTAGTAAAACAGGGCTCCTTTCAATAAAGTATCTACTATTACAGTACTGTATTAGCAGATTGCCCCAAATGCTCTGTTACACACTCAGGCAACTATGAAAATTAAACACAAACCAGTTATTTCTTCAATACAATGTGTACCTTTGCTGGGCAATTTAGGAAATACAGTTCTGTATTTACAAATGTAGTACAGTATATAATAATAATAATTCATTATGTCTGGGGACAGGAAGCCAGATTATACATACTGTACAGTACATGTTAGGCTTATGCCGAGGTCCTACCCTAAGGTCAAATTATTAACCCTCCCCAGGATGCATTCCCATAACAAGCTGACTAACTCCTGGGTACCTGTTTACTGCTAAGTGGACAGGGGTATGAGGTGAAAGGAAATGCACCCAACCATTTCTGTGCTGCCCGGGATTCGAACCCAGAATTCTCGATTGCGAGTCGAGAACGAACCCGACTATACTATCAGGACACTCGTATAAATGATTAGGTCTGATGTATATGGATCTGGAAAGTGACATGTAGTTAAGCACCTCACAGCACTATAGTGAATAAAAAACATGTACTTCCCCATGTTTAATAGCCACTGCAGACACCTTTGACTTGGTTCACCTTGGAGAGTGGGTGATGTATGGAATTTGAGTGTGAATTTGGGGTTTGGAGGTGAATAAGTCATAGTTTGTAAACTAACAAGTATTCAGCAGTGTTTAGCATATCTTAGCGCTACGTTAATAATAAACTTTTCACACAGGATGCTCCAAACTTCTTGATTGAAGCCGAATTGCGGTGTCACGAAACTCCAGTGGTGGTGGTAGAGGAACAACCTGATGTTTCTGATATATCGGACTCTATTCTTATTGATACTTCAGAGCCTGAACCTCCACCTATACCACCACATCCTGATGTTGATTCTCACAATGGGTAAGTATTCATTTACAGGTATTTTAATTTTTGTAATTACAGTATTACAACCCATCCTCCTTAATTACAGTACAGTTGTAATTACTATATTGTAATTACAGTACACATGTATTACAATCCAGAGTACATATTTGGTTGAACAAGCCAATATGTACTCTTGGACCCAAAAAATGAATGTTTTGTACATTAATTTTATGAAGTGAAAAAAACTAAAAAAAAAATTTAACCATTCCTAGGCATAAATATAGGATGTGTGTGTACAATATTAGGCGTAGGATTGCTTGGATTGGTTAGGGTTAGCTGCTTATGTTCATTTCCAATTTAATAGAATAATATTTGGGCTAATTCAATAATACAAAATGTGAACTTTTGGGGTCCAACAGTACGTATTGGTACATTTGAACAAATAATTGTTATAAGTACAGTACTATCATTTTAGGAGGATGGTCGGAATTATTATTACTTTGTTGCCCACTTTCTTAAGGTGGAGAGGCATCAGTCTGTAGTATATAGGGGTGCAGTACTTGGTATAGGAAATTAAGGACCAAGAGGTTTAAAAATTACCCAACTCCATTCACTCTATCTTTTTACTTGGCATCATAGAGAACCATCATAACTGTACTCTAGCAAATCATTCACAGTAGCACCCCAACCATTTCATAAGACTAGGTGTGGAGTGTAAAAATGTGCAAGTATTCAGTTAGCTTTGTTGCCTATTGTTTGTTCACAAGTGCCACTGGGAGCCTTTTAAACAGTTCTGTAGTCATGATGATGATAGGGATGCACTAGAGAATAATCAGTCTTGCTTAAAAATGACTACCATCAGGTACATATATAATATGCCCAGTGACCACATAGGATCATTCTTGCCAACTGCCAGTATGCTATCTCCACCAAGTAGTAGCACCAAGGTTCCCCGGGCTATTTCTTTTACATTCTATTACGTTTTCCCTGATTTAGTCCTGTGGTATTTGAGCATGCAGAGAAAGGTAAAAGTTTCAGTGACTTTTTTATTATCGTAATTTAACATCATACTGCACTACATTATTGAAACCCTTGGTTCCTTAATTTGACTTTAAGAAAACACATCACCTTTAAAGCTGTCTATTTTTCTGATGTAATCCATATTATAAAAAAGTGGTAATTCTTATTTTGTTTATACGTAGGTCTCTTGCTGAGGTCGTCGCAGAGCGGGAGTCAATCATTGATGCTCTTCATGGGGAATTGGAAGCCATGCGCATTGAGGTGCAGCAGTCACGGTCTCATGCTACACACAATGAAGAACAGCTTAGACTTCGTATTAATGACCTTGAATCTACAATAGCTGAACTGGTGAGTTTGGGTGTTTTTTAATTATACCAGGTTTTTATCTTGTACTTATTTAGCTTAATTGTATTTTCATGAACTATGAATGGATCGTTAATTAAAATATAATGCATCACTAGGATTGTAGTTTTATTTCACACCTAATAGAATATTTCACACCTCGTTGCCACATGAAATTAGCGGTCTTAAAGTGAAAACCTTGAACCTTGGCTGGCCATTAACTTCATCACCTTTTGTAGAAAATGTCTAGCCATGTCTCTTCACTCATATTACTGGATTTTCAAGATACAGATAAGATGTCATAGATTTAAACAAATTATCTTTGTGTTCACTTAAATGTTCGATCAGTATATGATTAGCTAAATTCCAGTTTTACCCTTTTGCAAGGTTGGTGACCTTCAAGTGTCCAGGAGTTTGACTAGTCACAAGTTTATAAATTATTGTCTACTTTATTCATGAGTATAAATTTTACATCTGCCTCATGTTCTATCTGTGTCACTAAAATCAGTTGAGATGTTAGGGTAAAAATTTGTTTATTTTGTACTTGGTTTATGCAGTGATCAGCAAAGTCATTTGCTGTATGCAAACTTTTAATAAATCATTGCCAAAATGAATTACTTTGAGCTTGTTGATGAAACGTGCTTTTGGAAGATAGGTCCATTAATTTGTTTAAAGTTTGGAGGGGTATTAACAACTTGGTTTTAATTTTGATTCTTCAAAATTAGTGGTGTCATTGTAAAGATAATTTTTTTTTTTAGTTTTCAAGATATACATTAGAGTTTGTGTTAGACTTGCTGAAGCTTTTTTGAGCTAATTAGTTCAGGAGCACTGTTTATACCGTGTAGCTGATCTTTTCCAAGCATCTCTAGGTGGCAGGCGTCCTCTGTAGCTCCCCAAGCTGGCTCAGTCATTCCATAGGCAGATGCACCAGAGCCAGGACCAGAATCTGGTGCACTCTGAAGTGATAGGGAAGCTTTGGGATTGGAGATAATAAAAAAAAAATCTTCAGTAGAAATAATAAATGTAACAAAACAAACTACTGCTTGCAGAAAATTGTTGCACCTGATTGTCACCAGGTGGCAGCCTAGGTCATCCAGGGTTCCAGCAGAGAAAAGAAATTTGTGTATGAAATTAATGTTAATGATGAAATGGTAGATAAATTTCAGTGTGTGTGTGTGTGTGTGTACTCACCTAGTTGTGCTTACGTGGGTTGAGCTCTGGCTCTTTGGTCCTGTGTGTGTGAGGAAGTGAGAATTAGGTGTGAACAATTTTGCTACCTGTTGATGATTTCATGGATCAGTGTCCCCTTAGCCGCCCAGTCACTGACCAGGCCTCCTGGTTGCTGGTCTGATCAACCAGTCTGTTCAGTGTGGCTGCTTGCAGACTGACATTGACAATCAGCCTGGTTGATTGGGTATCCTTTGAAGGTGCTTGTTAAGCTCACATTTGAACACTGAGAGAGGTTAGGCAATTATACCCCATATATGATACATGTAGGGAGAATATAGTAAGAGTGGAGATTGAGTTTAATCAGTTTGTGTGGAAGGAGTAATTGTATTTGTTTTTCTTGCACTAAATACAGTTGCACCTCCCAAATCCAGACCTCCCTATAATGCATACCTCAAACAGTGACCAAATTTAGCTGCAGGATCTACCCTCCAAATTTAGAAATTTTTCTACAAATTCAGTAATTTACAGTATTCAGTATCATGTTTTTTCAGTTTTTTATGCTGTATTTTTTTGTATCATTAAGTGGAGGTCAAAGTTTAGGTCAGTGGAAGTACCAGAAATGTTATTGTGAAAATGGTTATCAAACTACTGTACATTATCTAGATTGTTAATGGAAACAATTGGGCATTGGGAAGGTGAATAGGCCTGTTATGAAAGATACATGGTTAATTTTCATATTGAAAGTGAAGAGTTCTGAATTTGTAGCCATATCTTCTTGAATATTGTTTTCATTTTCAAAGTGGTGAGTTTCGATGAGTTTCATTTGGTGGATGCTTGAATTTGGCTCGGTAGAGGTGCCACAATTATTATTCTGAAAATGGCCATGAAATCACATCTTAATTATTTATTGGAATGAGTTTCAGAGTTATTTAATACAGTAAAAAATCTTAAGTTAAAGAAAGAACTTTGTGCATGAAGTCAATGGGCCTGGTTCATTTGGTGCCATGGTGAATAATAGACTGAATAGACGAGTGAAATTTGTTTAATATCTATATTATCATCATTATGTATACCTTTTGTTTCACCGAGATAATACTAATGCATTTATGTACAGTATATGTTAAATCGGCATTTTACAAGTTGCTGAACTCTTATATATTTCTAATTAACTTAGCCATTTTCTCTTTACATGACTAGGATAGTGAACTTTTGGCTGAAAGACAGAGCAAGGAATCAATCATGGCACAAGTGGAGGCAGCAGCAGCAAGTGCAGAAGCTGTAACTAGATTAGCTGATGAAGAAACGCGACGACGTTCAGCAGAAGAAAAGTTTGTCAAAATGAAAGATGTGTATCAGAAGCTGCGTGATGAACATATAAATCTCATCAGAGGGGTAATCTAGCATAATCTCTTGAAATATGTCATAGATTATAAGTATTTGTTGTACACAGTGGGTCCTTGAAAATCCATAATTAAGTGTTAACAAACTTTGAATGATTTGAAAGATTTTGATCATCAGAACAAATGCATTAAATCAAGTTTCTAGATTTAATGTTTTCAATATATATATATATATACTGTGTGTACAATCTGGGTTGATACTGCATCCAACACAATAGAAACTAGGAGCAGATTACTGTAGTTTGAAAACATGCCAACTGATAGTTAAACACAGGCAACTTCCCTTCACCATCCTCCTACATGTTCCACTAAGTGGCAGCCCAGGGACTCCTGACTGGCTATGCAATCACTTTAGAGCAATGATTTCTCTATCAAGAGAGGTGTGTGTGCTTTATCTGGGCTTTGATGTTGATGCAGAACTAACTGGTTTTTAGGCTGTTCTGGGGCATTGTCCCATGCAGAGGCCTGCAGTACTAATTTTATTTATCCTTGTTTATGTTTCATGATTGCATTTATGCCAGCTGCATTGTGTGATCCTGATCCTTCAGTTGCCTTGACTTACAATCACCCTGACTATCATCTAGAGTTCTCTTTCATGGCTCTCCATGTTTACTTAGAATGTGCATCTTATTTATGTATCTCAGAAAACATGGAGCCTGTTGAGAGGAGAACTTGATAAATGCCTCTAAAGGATGCCTTATCAACCAGATTGACTTGGATTGTGACTCGTGTCAGACTGTGAGCAGCTGCAGCTTCTAACAGCCTGGTTGACCAGACCACCAACTGGGAGACCTGGTCAGAGACTGGGCCATGGGGACATTGATCCTAGGAACCAGCACAAGGCACGAGGTTTCATCTTCGGGTATCTCATGGTTGGGGACAGGAAGCCTGATAAGATCTTCCTCCAGGATGCAACCCACAACAGTTACTTAACTCCTGTGAACCGATTAACTACGAAGTGAACAGAGGCATCCGATGAATGGAAAATATGTTTTCAAACACTTCTGTCCTGTCATGGGATTCCAACCCGGGACCATTAGGTTATGACCTGACTGCTACTTCAAAAGATAATATGAATTGATTAGTGACATGTTTAATGTTTTATTAGTATCTATAACCTTCATTTACTATATTACTGTTTTTTGTGGGCTTTCTTTAATAGCTTTATGGGTTTCTTTAATAGCCTTCCCATGCTATTAAAGTGGGAATGGAGTAATGATAATACTGTACAGTATATGCATATAGAACGCATCATAGAGTTGAAACACCAAATCAGATTAAATTATTTTTTAGAACTTTTTATAGCCCATAAATTGTAGCAGTTCTAAATTTATTTAGGAATAAAATACTAATGAAAATATGCATGATCTATGATTTTTTTTTATTCTTCAGAAAGCTGAGCTTGATAAACAATTATCCGTGGAGCAGGAAGCACATTCCTCCACCCAGCGGTCAAAAGATGAACTTGCTGCTGCCTTACACAAATTACAATCTCAGATGACACAAAATGAGCAGGTTCATCGTAATGTAACCCATATGGCTGAACAGGTAAGATAATAGTAGTGTAATGGAAAACTCAACAATTCCTGGTATGAGAGTCGATTTAGTTCAAGAATGATTTTCGTCGCCCCTGGTGTTGAACTTTTCCAAAGCAGCTGTGATTCTGATGGTCTCCATGCTTGAATACAATAATTCAATTGGGGGTGCACCTGAGACTTGTGTAGTTGTATAAGTACCCTCTATTTTCTTGTAGTCAAAGTTTACTGGAGGCTTGAAATAATGATTGGGAACAGTGTACCAGCCAGAAGTTTCAAATGTTGCAAAGTACCTAAAACATCTTAGGATGTTATGTGCACCATGGACTGTAGATCGTAAGATGGTATGTGCATTTCAAGAGCTAAGTGAAGTTTAAAATGTTGCTTAAAAACTATGCATTCTCATGTGATGTAAAATATGAATTGATAAAAGCATAAAAAGATGGGAAGGGGTTCCTTTTGAGATTGCCACCCATTACTGATTGGAGACACCATTGAGCTGTTGGAGCCATATGGACAACATGCATGTTTAATGCAAGTTGTAGATCTTCACTTAATGATGACTGCATTACACTAGATGATCAACACATGATGATAGTCTCACTTTGAGAGTTAAGCAGAAAAAGTTGTAAAAGCTCATAAAATATTATTTCCACAGCTATAATTGTTACATAATAATTGACCATGAAACTTTATTTGTTCTGTAAGATGTTCCACATTACCAGAAAGCTCTCCACATTAAAGGCCCAAATGCCCCCTGCTGTTTTAACATTTAGGTCTAAAATTATGAGTAAGATCATTTAACTCATGAATGTTTTCACTATTCTCAAAATTAGATTACTTCATGTAGAATTATTAATATCACACTGCAAAGGCTTCTGACTAAGCAATACATCAGTGATGTGCATGACTTTTTTTTTTTTGCAACCTGCACAGATTTAGGAGGAGGTTAGGCCTTATAAGTACCTGGGATATATTTAAATAGTTCAGATTTTTGTAATATCTATAAAAGTAAAATGTTGCAATTAAAGATCCATTTTATGTGTAGGTATTTAGCAGATAGATATTAACAAATTTTTTTTTTGTAAATATACGTTTCATTTAAAAAAATTCTTCTAGTATTACTGCATTTTAATCAATTATAAGGAAATAAGCAGCCAGTATTGGCAATTTAGTAAAACTAGAAGGCACTTACTAATTTAATTTAAGTTCTCTGTTGTGTGCATTTTCAGGAGGCAGAAACATTAAATAAAAAACTATTAGCAGTGATAGCGGAAAGGGATCAGTTGACGGGTCAGGTGAGAGACCTTGAGGATGCTATATCAAAGCTTAACACACAAATGGACACTCAATCTCAACAGGCTACTTACCAGGTAAGAACAAAACGTTTATATTTATACTGTTGATCTACTGTGTTTATATTTGATTCCTTTCTCTTTCTGGAAGCTATACTTGAGGGAGGAGGGGCCAAAACAGGTTCAATTAAAATAGGTCTTTCTAACCTACTTAATTTCCTTTGTTATGGAACCTTTTCTTTATTAGCTTCTGTGTTTTCAGTTAACATGAGATTTGTTGTCTTTCAGTTACTTGTGCTCTCTGTTTCTCTTATGTTTACACTCTTGTAATTATGTTTTTCAGTCACCACATGACTGACCCATCATGCAGTGTTTCTTGCTCACTTTGACCCAGATCATGAAGCATTTAGCATCTCTATCTGGATAAACTTCTGTACAAAATCTTTAATTATTTTCTTCTGATGTTTTGCCATTTTGTCTCGGTCCATGTAGGATCTTCTGGTCATAATCTCATTTCTGTAACTTCATTTTTAACCATTTCACCCACAGTCCTGTTAAATGAGAATTATTACCCTAAGGTTTCCCAGATATCTTTGACCTTCAATTATACAAGAACAACTTCTCAAACTTTATTCTAAATTTATTGATGTTTTCCCTATTCCAAGGTTTTGCATTGATAAGGCAACTTTGCCCTTGCACTTATTTAATCTAAACAAAAAACTATAGTCTTCTGCAGAGGTCCAAGCATCCTCTCTTTCTCTATTAAGTTCTTGTATTATTTTTGTTTTATGAAGATATCATGTAGGAAGATTAACCTAAAGATATTGTTTTTGTTAGTGATTATTTGAAATCTTTTGATAAAATTAATTGCAGTTGCCTTTATCTTCATGTAGCTGACAGTTGTTCGGAGTGACTGGGAGACTGGTGTTCACAAGTGTGTTGAAGGAGCTGTAGACGGAGCACTGATTGTGGTGACACACACTCTTTCTCACTTTGATCTCGAGGCTCATGCAAATGTGAAATGTACTTCAGGTGGGTTTTTCTTTATTCATTTGTTCATTCCTTTAACAAAAAACATAGGATTTTTTTTTGTATGCTCTTAGTCAAATTGTTCTCATTTCAGCTTGCATTCTTTTTTAAAGTGTTTTTTGCCACTCCAAATATTCATGTTGGTTTGTACATCTACATACGGTATAGATCTGTGTTACCATCTACTGCTGGGACTGCTGTTACTTAACTCTGGAATTCATGGAAGTGGCTTTAGGTCAACCACTTACTATGGAAACAATAAATTGCAACCTCGTGCATATTAAGTAGCAATAGAAGATAGCCTTTTATTTCATGAAAATGTTAGCAACTGTTGCTTCACCTGTCTCCAACTTTGAGAAAAGGAAAAATTCTTGGACCTTTTTTTTATAAAAAAAAAATGAAAATGGGTGTGTGTGTGTGTGTGTGTGTGTGCTAATGTTAATGTGAAAATAAAGTTAAGGAAAGTTTTTGTAATTGGAATCTTGTAAAATATAAAATTGGATTTTCTGTGAATGATTTACCAATTTATACACTTTTAGCGGTGCTAAAGATATTATCACTTTATTTCTGAGGTGGCCCTCAGAAGCTCTTTGGTGCATTAGTTGTGTACCACAGACACATCCACAAAACTCCCAGGGAAGCATGGGGGGGGGATATGAGATCCACTGAAAACTGAGTAAAATTGCATAGAGAGTACAGGCAAAACAAAAGAGTAAAACATACCATTATTAAAGAGAGAAAATATGGAATCAAGGCAAATGATAGTTTACCCAGTGACATACGATGTGCTAGTACCGAAGTGCACCACCAGGTGGCAGCTTAGGTCATCCTGGAGTTCAGTCTGCCTTATGGTACTCATTCATGTGCCTGGTACCAAGCACACAACATTCATGTGCTTGGTACCACACAACTTCTCTCTAAGGACTGACACTTTTGTGAGCTATGTTGGACCATGCCTGTACAGTATTTCCTTTTTGTCCATGTCCTCGGTTTCTTCTGCTCCTCTTGGCTGAGGGTTCTTAGTTCAAGGTGGCTTTTTGATAGTCATATTTGCAAACTTTACGCTCGTCACTGCAAAAATGGGGATTTGTTCCTTTTGTTCTGAGCATCATTCTGTTGCCAGCCTTTTTCGTTCCTTTTGGCTAAAAATGAGTCCTCTGCTTTTCGTTGCTATCCTCTGGTGGGTGGATGGTTATGTCCGGGCTGAGTGTACACCATGCTGTCTGATTCGTTGCCTTTATGTGGCATAATTTGCATGCTGCTCATGCTTCCCAAGCTGTGGAGCACACTGTCAATCCAGTTTTCCTTAGTACAGTACGTAGTTCTAAGGCCAAGCCTTCACAGGTTTTCCGTCATGTAGTTAAGTTCAGTCAGCCTGATATGACGACTATCTGCATGTACACGATGTGCCGAAATATGCTACTATTACTGCCTCTTTTGCTAATGTATCTATGGCCAGTATTTGGGCTTGGGGTTTCTGGCAGTCTAATCGGGCATTGGTTGCTCATTACCGGTTATTGATCGTTCTCGCCACACCTGTGTGTTCTTGGGTACTTCTTTTGTCATCAAGTTCCTTCTTTTCCAAGCCCTGGTTGAGCTGGAGAAGTGAAGCCTTCTCACCCCAAGGGTCAGATCAAAGAATGTTTCTTCTCCATGTTGCCTCTGTGAGCACAACTGATGCTAATCAAGGTATTTGCTAGGTTAGGCCTATTTCAGTGTAGGCTTGCACAAGTCCAAGGGCCTTGGAGTTTTACAGATGTCTCTCTAGTACACAGCCTATGCACCGAGGAGATACCTAGGCTGTTGAAAAAAGGTCATTTCATCTTGTGCATTTCATCAAATCAAATTCCTTCATTTATTCTTATTATGTGGATGGTGATGATTTCTGAGCAAGGCCTCCTCGATTGCTTCCCATAGCCTCAGCCATGGGTTCACCCAGGTTACCACTTCCAAGCTCTTTGTGACTTTGAGGCCCACCGAGACAAGTAAGTTTTCCAACTGTCTTATCCTGTACACCAGGAGCGAGGAGCACAGTGGAGAGCATGCCTCACTACATCACTGAGAGACACCTTGTGCTATGATACCAAAGAACACATCAAGCAACTGTCACCCCCTTTGGATGATCATTAGGATCACTATAAGGTGTCTAATTGTTATTGCGAAACTACTGTACGTAACTAGCAATTATACTCTTCAACGTCTGCCATCAGGTAAGAGAAACAGCTAGTATATCTGGATCTTGGGAGATGGCAATCTCACTTTGTGCCACCTGGCATCAAAAACATGCTAGTCCCAGCTATGTAGCTATGTAGAGGTTGATTCAGTGTTGTTAACTGGTTGTTCTTTGACACTGTTTCTGTGCATGGGAGGTTTCATTTCTTTAGTGTCAACGTCACACTGTAGTGTTCAGTCGTTTGTGTGCCTCTGAATATTTTGTCCTGCTTAAGCTTAGTTTTAGGGTTTACCTTTCTGGTGCAAATTGTCCAAGATTGAGGGCCCTTAGAGTTTTCTCACCATCAAATAGCAAATGTGCTTGAGTAGGGCCACTGACTTGACAGTGCATTTTTGGACTGTCTTTGACTTTGACCTCGGTGCTGAAGTCTGGCTACATTCAAAATTCTATGCAGATTCTCTGCATAGAATCTCTCTTGACCATTTCCATGACTTCACTGTATAGCTATTGTGCTGTGATTTTGTTATTTAGGCCTGGCAACCCTTGCCTGTCATTGTTTGTATGGCATTATGAATGCAGGCCAAATACATGACTTTTCCATGATGGTTAGTCTAGTTCGTGATTGCTTTCATACTTGTGGCATTTGAATAGGAACCTATGACATCCCCAACTTGTGTTCAACATGATTTTTTCTGCCAAAGTTAACTGTTTCACTGTAGATCATACTCGTTAATACTAATTTGATAAACTTGGGAATGTCATCAGTCCTCATCTAACCTCTGTATGGGTGATATGTCTCCTGTCTTGTCCTGACATTGCTCCACCAACTCGTAGACAAGATGTTCATGTTTATTTGGTACTGTTTGTTACTTCTTAAAATAGTTGATGTAGTTGTGAGCAGTAACAAATGCATTCTTTATGGCAGAAGTGGCACATGCAGGATCTGTCCTTGTGGGGCCTGGCCAGACATCTTGAGTAATCTGTAAAATGGATTTTTCACCCAAGTAAAAGTATGAAGTATAACAGCTAAATTTATTTTAAAATTTTCCCATATTTTTAATTTGCTTGTAATCTGCATAGGTTCTGTTATATGGTACTGCAAGCTCGAAAATCTAGATTGGCTTTTTATCCCCAAATTTTACATAATTTTCATGTTAAACTTAAAAAATTTAAGTGCAATAAAATGTTTATAAATAAGCTCAATAGCTTTTCTAAGGCACGAAACTGTTTTCCCTAGTTTTGTATTACTCTATAAATTTTTTAAAATGCAATCATAGCTATATTAAAAAAGCTACCCTATATTCCCAAATTTTCCCCATGCACTATGACAAATTTCACTTGCCAAAATTTTAATTTCAACCTATTATATGACGGACATCTTCAGAGGAAAACCTGGCTTTAAAAAGATATCACTACATCTAACTTATTTCCAACACTCCAAGCCATGAAACTGTGTTTTCAACAGTAGCCTAACTTATACCTGGATGTTATATTCATACCTTAATATTTCCCATGCTCTATGAGTAAATTTCACTGACAAATTTGCATTGTAACCTATCATATGATGGACATCTTCATTAAGAATCTGAGAATCTAGAAAGCGGATATCCAAATAATGAAGGTTCCATAGTAATTTCACATGAGCTGCCATTTAAATTTTGTAAAAAAAAAAGTGTTACTGAAGATGCTACTGCTAAATAAATACCACTGGTTAATGGGGCATTCAATGGAAGGCTTTTTTATCAATGATTCAAGCAGGAGCCGATTAAAAAAAAATACTTTCAGACCTCTTTTGTTGTATTTTTTCTGCTGAGCCTGTGTGTCTTGTGAGTTTTTTGGTTTCTCTTGGTGTTTCCTTGTTTTTTCATCTCCAGTGTGGTTTGTCTTTTTTTTTTTTTTCCTCTGTTGTTATGCACCTGAAGACTTGCCTGTGATACAGCTTCCAGGTCTAATGGTTTGGGGGCCGGGCCTCTTATTCCTCTTCTATTGTTTTAGGAGAATGTTGGCCCATTCTGTGGGTGTTTTTGGTCTTCTGATTGAGTGTATTGATCCAGACGAGTGTTTTAGACCACGTGGCATCCCTTTTTCCTTTCAGTTTTGATTTTGTGGCCAGTTTCTTATTCATGCAGGCCTCGTTAGTCCTTGCTTTTTTGTCTGGTGGCTATTCCTTTGGTACCTTGCTGACGTGTTCTGCAGTCTCTTGCTTCTTGTTTTAATGTTTCTTTCTTTCAGATGCTACCTGTTCTTCGCAAGGTAAGCTTTTGGGCCTGCCTTCGGGGGTGACCCTGGACCACAGGGGTCTTCCCTTGGCAACCGTGACTGGCTGCATTTTCTTGCTTGGGTAAGTCTTCCCTTATTTTATATTCCATTTGGGGCTTTCCATCCGTTAAGGTCTTGATGGGTAGTTGGCTCAAAAGGTGCCTTGCTCAGGAATAGGTATTGACGTGCCCCTTTCTGTGCGACCCGTCTTTCCTGTTCCTGCTTTTACAGTCCTGATTTTTCCATGCATGTTTGGGTGGCCTGGGCTTTATGTGGGGGTGTTGCCTGCTCCTCTGAGTCTATTGTGGTGCTGGTGTTGCCATCTGGTGGTGGTTGATATAGTGGGTAGTTGCTTAATTGGTAAATAACAGATATTTGGCTGTACGGTACTTGTGATGCCAATTATCACTGGAAAGGGGTGTCGATTGATATGGTTCTGCACTTTTGTATGATAGCAAGTGGTCTTTTATGTGGTTGATTGATTTGTTAACTGTCTTTTCTCCCTAGTGGCAAGATCATTTGAAAAGTTTCTTGCCATAGTGGGATGCAAGTCACTGAGAGCCTGGTGTGTTTATTGTGCCTTGGGTGGATACTAGTTATTGCAGCAACTAAGTTCATTAAGAAACATTTCATACTATTCAGTGCCTTATTTTTTCTGAAGTGTAATCATACCTAAACTAACATTTTGTGAGCCTTCAGAGGCCTGATGTGATCCCCAAGGCTTAGTCATTGCCAAGCTGTAGCATCAGGGAGCTACTTAGTTGCCCACCAGATATAGGCATAAATTGTCTCTGGAGTTTTTACCACTGACAGGCTTTCCTCTTAACTCCCAAACTCCATCTTGAAGGTCTAGTTTCTTTGTGGGATGGCTCTCTCTTTGACTTTCAAAGCTTATACACTGGCACCTGTGGGCCAGTACCATCTCACCAGACATATGACTTTCCCATAGCCAACCAGGAGTAGGTACTAATACTCCTGCTTCCCTCTTAGAAGCAGGATTAAAAAAATAAAAAGGTCGAGTCACAAAAAATACACACACACAGAAAATGTTTTGCAGATTTGAATGCTAAACAAAACTCAAAACTATCTCACTGCATCTCCCCAAAAATGCCACCACATGCTGCTTTGCCTTCCTGCTACCAGATGGCAGCACCAAGCAGCCCAGGATCTGGAGCAACTCAACCCTTCAAATTCTCGCCCAGTGCCTTTGACATCTGACAGGCATCTCTCAAGAATGTTTATTTTGCTACTGTGGCTGGATTTTAATTTTTTGTATGGTCCAGTTATGAGTTTCCTGCATTATTAATCTCAATGAGCATATTTGCGGGCCCCTTTGTCTCAAGTGGTTGTTTTAGTGTATGATTTTATTTCAGAGGTGTCAACTGTTGCATTCTGATCCTACTGTGTCAAGTGTTGAATTGTTGATCCGTACTACTTTTTCTGCAGGATTGCCTCTCTTCTGTTTGGTGTGTTTGATTAACCCTAGTCAACCCTTAAGCACTTCAGTGCTTAAGGGTTGTGAAAGTTTGAATGATATTCTTCCTCCTCCTCCAAGTTCAGGTTTTGGTTTGATTGATGACAAGATCCCTCGGCTTACTTCCTCTGGCATCGGGTAATGGGTTCAGGACTTTGTAAATGTCAGAGTGAGGACCTTAGTTCACCTATTCCAACTTAAGGGATAGTCTCTTTGCCAGTTTGCTTGTATCTTAAGGTAGAAGATATTTTTATTAACTCAATCTTGACTCCCTTTACAGCTGCCTTTCTCAATTGTGGGTTCATTCAGTTGTATCTGGGCCAGGCTTTTGTATTATCTCATTTTGTCTTTTCAAGATGATTGTAAGTTACTGTTCATCCTTCTACTATTTTGGTTCAAAGATCATTCTAGTTTTCTTCTTTACTGGCTGTGTGGTTGCAGTCCAAGGTACATGCTTCCTCTTGTCAAGAAGATCCCAAATCGGATTCTTTTATAAAGTAGTTCTGTTCAAACTCGCTTCTTCTTGTCTTTTGTCCTATTTGTCGGCTATGTCCCAGGCTCAAAGTTTTAGTTCATTCTTGTGTTATTTCCCTTATCATGCAGCATACTTCATGGCTTGTGATCATTGCTCAGTCCCAAACTTGGCTTGCATTTTGGATGGGTTTCTTCATTGTTGATCGTCTCATGCTGTCTAAGCCTCCACTTTTCATTTGACTTTAGCTGGGCCTCTTTTGGATGCCGTTATATTTGCCTTTTTTGTCGGCCCTGTTGAGTATGTTTGGGCCTTCTGTCCTCTTAGGCCCCTCTTGTTCCTCCTGAGCCATTGAGGTTTTTGTCTGGGATCTTGTTTGCTTATCCTTATAATGGTTTTGAATTGCTCTTCAAGCAACAGCTGTTTGATTTCTAGTCATTACTCTTGCATCATGCAGACATGTGGGATTCCTCTATGCCCTACTCCTTTGAATGACTTCTTGTTGTTTTGGCCATGAATGAGTCTGCTTGTTTTGTGACAATCTATACAGCTTCATCATTCAGTGGATGCTGTCTAGACCTTTTGCAAGTAACTCGAGCTTCCAGTGAGGTAGCAGTGTTATCCTTCTGGTCATCGTTTTTTCTTTTTCAGTTTCTTGAGCTGTCAGTTTGCTGCATTTTTTTTTTTTAATGTCTACAGCCATGTTCCAGTCCTGAGGCTTCTAATTTTTCTTCAAATGCTGGTGATCAGATTTTTCCCACCTTTCCTCATTCTCTGCCTGCTGATGTGGTTTTGGGGGTAAGTATTTCATTCTTATTTCTAAGTGTTCCCACATCTGCTTGGATCCAGCATCCAGAAAATTAATGTTCACAGGTAAGCCTCATAAGAATTTTCTCATTATCTAATGTTTCTCTTTCAGGTTTTTCTGTACACTATTATGATATTGTCACAGGGTTCATCATAGAAAGAGCCATGGGGAAAGAGGCTCAGGAGAGCCAGTGGGAGGAGTGGAATGAGCATGATTATAGTACCTGCTTTCTGTAGACCATAAGAAATCCTAAGATGCCTGGTGAGATGGTACTGGTCTGGGGTGCCAGTGCATAAGCTTTGGCAAGCCACAGAAGGGGGCCCCCCCCATAAAGGGGCATTTCATTACTGTACTTGTATTTAGGATATTTCTGCAGTTTCTGGAGTGTTTATATTTGCATGTTTTATTAGTTCTTCCTGACGGCCCATATTTACATAAACCCCATGTATGATATTAGCAGGTTCTAGGTTCATGCTTTGCTGGATTATCTTTGTTAATCTGTAATAGAAAGTGTTGGCTCTTCGCTGAAAGAAAAAATTTTTTTCAAAAAAAAAAATTGAAAAAAAAAAAAAATCTCTATATATCTAGGTCTTAGAGATTCCTGTTGTTGTTTGGTCACTTCTTTAACTGATTCTAATCTTTCTTTCTCTCTCTGGCCATTTGTGCAGGCTTAGCTGCTTATCCTCCTTGCACTTTCCTATACCTTGTATAACCACCTCCATCTTTTCTGATGAAACCTCGTTTTCTGTTGAATTTCCTTGCTTATATTTTCATATACACTAATATCTAGATTTTATTTAACTATTTCAATGCTATTTTTAATCCTTTATTTTCCTCCTCAAGGACTTTTCCTGGAGTTTCCGTAGAGTTTCTTATCCATACACACAGAAATCACAATAGTGTGATGCATCAAATGAACAAATCCACAAGGGCTGTGATGAGGGTTTGAACCTACGTCTAGGATCATCCCAGATGTAGGTTCAATCCCTCATCATGGCCCTTGTGGATTTCTTCTATCTTATCGATGCTTAATTCCTTGATTTGGCCTTCCAGAGCTGCAACCTTGTTTCTCAAGTTTTCATTACTGCTGCTCAAGTTCTTAATTTTATCCACATGATATATTACAATGTTCTCTATTTTTGCCAACTTGTTGTGAAAACTACTCCTGTATGCCTCTGCAATATTAATAGTACATACTGAGTAATATGAACTTTATTGGTTGCAACAGTCCATGTTTTACATTTGAGCAAATAGTTGCTATAAGTACTGTACCATCATTTTGGAGGATGGGTTGGTATAATAAAATGTTTATCTTATTGAGTAATAATAGATAGAAAAATATCAAATTATGGTAATTATAGCAATTTATAAGCAGAACCTAATTCTCATAGATTTTTGTATTGAAAAAATGTAATTTGACATGAGAAGTTGTCCAATGGTGATTGCTTTATGGCATAGCTAAAATTCAGAACCAAATACAGTAGATATAATGTTACATGTTACAAGACAGTACAGTACATGATAACTTATAAACTGCTGTTAAAAGTTGATAGCATCACAAATTTGATTTATTATTATTATATGGAAATTTTGTCTTTTAAGAACAGACAATTTCAAAATTAAGCTTAAACTTGCAGCACATGTTAATCTTAATTTCATGTTCTGTATTACAGAATACACTTTGGCTTACCAAGCACTGGTGGAGGATGCTCTGGAAAAGCTTTGGAGTTCATATGATTCATACATCAACAGCTTCTACTCTGCCCCATACCTCATCACCACTATTACGTCTGCTGCTCATTACATTGCTGCTTTTCTTCTATATGCCAAAGCAACTTCACATGCCAGCCCTAATATTGAACATGCAGAAAGTAAGTTGATAATTGTATCTTTCTTTTTTTTTAATTTTAGTTTCATAGCGTAGAGATACCTGATCAACCAGGCTGTGACCTGTGACCATAGCATAGAGATACCTGATCAACCAGGCTGTGACCTGTGACCATAGCATAGAGATACCTGATAAACCAGGCTGTGACTCATACGTCAGGCTGCGAGCAGCCGCGTCTAACAGCCTGGTTGATCAGTCCAGCAACCAGGAGGCCTGGTCGACGACCGGGCCGCGGGGACGCTAAGCCCCGGAAGCACCTCATGGTAACCTCAAGGTAAGGTAGCGTATTTTATAAAAAGTCAAATTTGTATGTAAAATACACTGTTAAATACTTTTGCTGTTCAGTGTCTAATATTCAGAAATAGATACTGTATAGCTTGAATTTGATCAGAGTACAGAAATGCCTTTTAAATGTATGATCTTTAGTTTATTATTCACTTTTCTACTAAACCTGCAGATTTTGTTCTCAACATCTTGAGAGGTGATTAAAGTTACAATGATCTGGCAAAATAGTAAAAATATTCTTCTTTTCATGTTGTTATTCTGACATTCTCAGCTATGCCGAGAAGCCAGTCTTGCCGCTTCTGCCCTAATATAGCTGCAGGTTTATATGTACGCAGTTCAAATCAAATACATTTTCTTAGAAAGTACTATTATTTGTTATTACAATTTATGACCAGTACCAAAACTGGTTTACATATTAACAAAGATTAAATTATCTTTTTTCAAGTTTTTAAAAATTCTATATTGTCTTGGCTTACTAATTTGGATCATATGGGACGGACTCCTATCTGTATCATGAAGAGATTTGAATTTCTACCTACAATTAATATATGCAGTATTTTATAATGTTAACCCTTGAAATGTGGCCATGATCAAAGTTGCATCTGCCTGTGCATAAAAAATTGTTCTTATAGAAGGATGCATTTCATGCACATGGTAAGGAAATTAAAAAAACCCGTAAATATCTTAAGTTTTTTTTGTACACATCGGAAGTTTTCCAGGTTAGGGGGGTCATTTGGCCCATGGACTGTAGCAACAAATATTGCTGAGAGGCCAAGCCAGGTCAAGGAGAGAGCTGTGAGGATTATGTTAGTGCTTATGTGTTTGCTGTTTCACTTTAGTTTATACAATGAATGGAATAATTCTTGTTTACACATAATTGACAAAGTGATTATTATATATTGGCCGGCAATGTAATATGTAAACCTACAATGCACATACATCTATTCATGGCACAGCTCAAAGGAAGTCTCTTGCACTACTTTGCTTCTATTTTATCTGGTAATGTCTAGAAATGGATACAGTGATATTCATATTGCTTATGGTAAATGATTAACTCAACAATAGTAAGTAATTAAATATGATGGCAGAATTTTTTGTCGTGGGTTATCTCCTTTACATTCATATAGAGGTAGTATAATGATATTTACAGTACTGTATTTGTATACTATCTGGTTGAACCTGGTATACTTTTCATAAAATAATTAATTTTAATGTTAGTATCTCATTAATAGTAATGTTAGTATCATTATAGTATCTCTCTTTTTTTCTTTTTTCTTATTTTTTTAGTATTTTAAGATTTTTTGTACATTTTGTATTGTGCTATAATAATGATGGACCTCTTTAAGTACTTCTTAAAATATGACCTTCTCTCTTTTGAGTGTTTAATTGCACTCTTTACCCTGGCTCCACACACTGCATCAGTACCTCACCTCACCCCGCCCTGCACTCAATGTTCAATTCACACTCTTCTACTTGTATTTCTCTCACCTATGATTCCTGATTCCTCCTAGCTAAATTTTCACTTGTATTAGTCTGTGGCACTCATCATTCTCTCCCATGAATATTTGTTTCTTGGGGTAAGTTATTGCTAACTACATGACCACTCACACTTGTGGAATTCTTCTGCAAATCTTTCATGTTTTGCTTAAGAATCCTTCAATACTGTGCTTGAGGACATCTGAAATGAGAGATTGTATGCTGTATTTTTTTTAAATATATCGTTACAGATCTTGTTGCTGTTCTGGAAGAGTTTGCCAAGGCTTGTATTGACAGTTTTGGACGGATTCATGCTAAACAAGAACTGACTGATATTCAGGCATCCAAGGAAACATTTGAGAGGTATTGTACTTACATATATCATTTGTCATGCATTGTAAGAAATTTAGTGAATGTTATTTTTCTGAACATAATTCAAGCAATTAGACAAAAGTCAATGAGGTAAACAATGCAGGAATATTTGACAATGAGTGAACAACTCACTGTTCATCAACAACAAGAAGGCCACCCAGGGTACTGAACCACCGCTCATCTTACTGGTGCACATTTTATCATGACAGCAGATGTCTCTTTGGGGACCTTTTGGCTCTTTTTAAGCTAAGTAGTATTCTTTTTTTTTCTGGAACAATTATTTTGTGAGGGGTCATTGTGTAGTTTTCATCATCTTTTTACATTTGTTAATTGTTTTCACCACATTGGTTGTTCCTCTGTCTGTTATATCATTCTGATTTTGGTTCAAGACTATTTTCCCTGACTTTTGATTTCCTTTTCTCAGGCTCTACTAAAACAAGCTCCTTTCCAGTCATCTCACAGTCAGGTAGTGCTTGGGCCTTGGTTTAAAAGCAATGTCTGATGGGAGTTAATAACGTTAGCCGTGTGCATTTGTTTATTGCACCCGGTTCGGACTTGTGTGTTTGAATCTTCCATCTCAGTCGTGTTTGATGTTGGGTTGTGTTACTTTAGTTATTCTTTGCTATGGAAATGTGAGCCTTTCTTTGTCAATTAATTGTCAGTGTTGAGTGTTTGTTTAGCTAATAATAATACCTTTCTGTCCAGTACATTTGGCACTGTTAATGTCCTGGACGGTCAGGTTCAGTGAACCTCTAATTTATATATATTGTACGTCGTTTTCTCTATTGCTAGCTGGGTCGTGATGAGTCCTTTAAACTAATTATGCTGCACATATCTTATTTCTATCCTGGACCAGATTAGCACCATTTTCTAGTCTTCTCAACTTAGTTTCTTGTATGAACCAATCCATATACAGTATAGTACTTCGTGTGCATTGAACTACCATGAAAACAATACAGCCTTTGTTCACTCATTGCACCAATGTTTAGTTGAAAACTGTTCTTCAGTTTTATGGTATATGTATTAATTTGTATTTAAATTTTATCACATTATTTTATCGATCTACTACTGTAAGTAAGGTGCATTTGTGTATTGAAAGAATCTTCCTATTAAGACCAACTGCTTTCTGTTCGATGAGTGGTCTGATTATACAGGCTTTACTGCAAATATTTTGAAACCTTTACAAATTAGTTCATAAAAGTAAATATAAATTTGTCTACATTAAAGTAGTACAATACTGTACAGAAAGAGCTCGGTAATCCGCATTTCAGTAACCAGAAACTTCAAGTAATCCACGAGATTTCATGTTTGAACTTTTCCTTTTTTTTTTTAGTTATTTTAACCCAAATGGGGAGTTGGGTTACCATGTTAAACCTGGTAAGTTTGTGTTACCAGGTTTTAAAATAAATCTACAGATTCTGCAATTTCTGTTGGATAAGAAATCTGAATACAGTGGTACCTCGGAATGCGATTGTCCCTGTATGCGAGGTTTTCGGAAGGCGAGGTGTATTTACTCCAAAAATTTGTCTCGGAAGGCGATGGTTACTTCAGGAGGCGAGTTTGGACGCGAGTTTGTTGATACGCGTACAGCCGACCTAGCGCGTTCGTCGCCCCTCCGCCCCTCAGTTTATTATTGTCTCGCGCTCAGTGACTACCCCCACATCAATTCTTCTCGCGGATTTTCAGTGTTTTGTTGGATTTTTGGTGATTTGTCTATACAATTTGTTATTATATATCTCACCATGGGTCCCAAGAAAGCCAGTGGTAAGGATAAAGGCCAGAAAGCTCATGTGAGGATGACAATAGAGGAGAAACAAGAGATCATTCGGAAGCATGAGAACGGTACACGTGTTGTTGAACTTTGTAGGCAGTACAACAAAGTCACATCAACAATATGCACTATACTTAAGAAGAAAAATAAGATTATGGGTGCTAAAGTGGCAAAAGGAGTAAGAACATTAACGGCACAAAGACCACAAATACTTGAAGAAGTGGAAAAGTTGTTATTAATTTGGATACACGACAAGGAGTTGAGGGGTGATAGTGTTTCGGAGGCCATTATTTGTGAGAAAGCCAGGGTGTTGCACGAAGACCTTCTAAAGAATACCCCTGCAACGAGTGATGCAGATAAGAAAGAGTTTAAGGCAAGCAGGGGCTGGTTTGAAAAATTTAGAAAGAGAAGTGGTATCCATAGTGTTACAAGGCATGGGGTTATGTGATGTGATTATGGAAGGGGACTCCCCTTCCAAACAGTAACTCCTCTCCTCCTCCCCCCTCCTCACCATCTTCCATACGCCTACAGCACTCGACAGCAAGGTAAGTAATAACTGGAACACAGTTTTGTAGGTTTATTTAGATGAATTAGGTAAATTAGGTATAAAAATTTAGTTTGATGTGGGGTTTTTGGGGTAGTCAGGAACGGATTAATTCATTTCCCTTTATTTCTTATGGGGAAATTAACTTCGGAATGCGAGTTTTCGGAAGGCGAGACGTCTCCAGGAACGGATTAAACTCTTATTCTGAGGTATGCCTGTATACTGTATTCATGTTGGAGTGTTTACTCAGTAACTTGAAGCCAACTTGGGTTACCATGATTTTGTCATTGGGCTACTCAGTGAAATGTGGGGACCTATACTGATGACACAAATTACATTAAAAAGCATTAATAAATATAGAAATATGATGCCTAATATTGATAAATAATTATTGCCAAAAACTGTATGTGCAGGCCGTACAGTGTCTTTCCCTGCTAAAATATGGGATTTTTTCTGTAATGGACTCCAAGCAGACCTGTCCAGGCTCAGTCAACCTACCCAGCCATATGCTTTCTTCCCTCATGTGATTCCACTGCACCTTTTCGTTATTCTTTTTTTATAATGTGACGGTAAAGCGTTGGTGTTCGGCTGTTTCAAAAGCTAGGGGCAGGGCCTCGTCACATTAGAGAAAAAAAAAGAGAAAAAGCTGGAACTTTTGTCTGTGGTAAGGTAATGGGAAGACACACAAAACACAAGTAAATTAACAATGAAATTTTAATTACTTTAGAAAAACAAGACATGAATAAAGTTAAGCACATAAAATATAAAAGACAAGTCAACAAACAAAATAATATGAATAATCACTGGCAAATGAAAAGTTACGTTAAGATAAGTGAGTTACAGTGATAGCAAAATAAATATGAATGGAGCTGGAATATTGGCTTCGAGCTGCCACCTCCCTTAGTACACGAAAGCCAAGGCTTAGTCTACCAGCGAGAGATGTCAACTGCAAGGAGCACTGAGATATTCTGACAATACTGAAGCACTGCAGCCCAGACATCAACTTGTGGCGGAGGGTGGAGGGCAGGTGCGACAGGACACCAGCCAATCAGCGACAGGCAGGCAAAGGACAAGTAGTTAGCTGGTTACGGCGGTGGTAGCTAGCAGGTGTGCCGGTGTGCTGGATACGTTTTGCTTTCTGGGCAAAACGTTTTGGAGATATTTGGTGGACGTATCTTCTATATTATCTTTTGTTTTTACGTACTTTGTAGGGAAGAGCAGGCTCAATCTCTCTTGAAAGAGATTGTCACAATAAATATAAAAAATATTTTTTTCCAACATTTCTGTTTTAATAGGAATTGATAATTTTTTGCTAAGACCATGTTGGGTAGCAGCACCAATCGACGTGGAGGAGTTAAGAGGAGGCATGTTACGATATCCAATAAATATTAGAATTGAATAATTGTACTTTGTGAAAATGGCTGTTCAGCTGCGAGTCGCCATGCTCATGTACAATAATTTTGGTCTTGTAAGGTTATGTAAATGAATAGTATTGAAGTCCTTCATCAAGCAAGCTGATAAACTCCAACAAGGCAAGGTGAAATTAGTTATTGTCAGTACATTTTTTGAGTACATATAGGAAGATCCTCCCCTGATCATGTAAATTTGTTTGTTGCATGTGGAAATGTGAATTATGTTGGTTGTGGCACAACAAATTTATGACTTAATTTTTGGACTTTCCCAGTAAAAAAGTTTGCCAACTTTCAAGTTTAGCTATCAAGCATGGGGGGGGGGGAGTCCATATGATTCAGATTAGCGAGCACGGACAGTAGTATGTAACAAGGTGTGATAATATTAGTAAGTGATATTTTCTGATTGCTTATGCCTTCACAGTATAGAAAATGGATAATATTTCCATTAAATTTATCTTTAACCTTTGTCTTGTACAGCTTAGGGAAGATGTCTTGAAGGTACCTGAAGGCTGCCAACTTAGGAAACAATGTGTCACACCTCTGGGTAAGGAGTCGGCACTCTTAAAGTACAGTACCTTCATGACGTCTTCTCTAAGCTGGCTGAGGCTTTGGCGACAAAGCAAAGTTTTTTTGGAAATGATAGCCATTTTCTATGCTTTGGAGGCATAAGTAATCAGAAAATAACACGACGGGGGCTTGATAGCAGAATGAACAGCACTCGGAATTCACAATCCTAAGGTTCTGGGTTCGATCCTCGGTGGAGGCGGAAACAAATGGTTAGTTTCTTTCACCATATGGACCTGTTCACCTAGCAGTAAATAAGTATATGGGAGTTACAGCTGCTACAGGCTGCTTCCTGGAGGTGTGTAACAATAAGGAGGGGTGGTCGAGGACCGGGCCGCAGGGGCACCGAGCCCTGAAATCATCTCAAGATAACCCAGAAACTAAAAAATTTTCTATTGTATAATATTTATATAAAATAGTAAAGTAAGTAAAGCTTTTATCTCTATAGGTGCTGCTCACTGGTTTCTTTGTGTGAAGATCAGAGCCCTAGAATAGAAGATGTAGCTTCTCTGGTGCAGCGGGAGATGGAGAATATGGATTCTGCCATCAGAGATGCTGTTGAAAAATTCACTGCAATGTTAGAAAATTCTCGGGCTACAGACACTGGCACACAGTTAGAGGTAAGTTCTATGCTGTATGTATACAATACAGTCGCTTGCAAGTTTAACTTAGACAATTTAATGTAAACCACTTTTATTCAAGGCAAAATTAAGATCATGAGGCTAATTGACTTTGCTGTCAGCGTTTGGTAATGGTGTATATGTAAGTTTGTGTAGTGAAATATATTTACATTTTTCTAAGTCAAAATATAGTTCATAGATATTTCTAATTAGAAGAATCATATTTTATCATGGGAAAACCACTGTGACAAAAATTACAGATTTGTAAATGCGTAATTGGACTACAGTATTTTGGAGAAATAACCATGATTTTGTTATTGGTTAACCTACAAATCCATCTATAAATTTTAGAGATGTTAAATATTATGAAATTGAATTAATTACTGTATTGTAAAATTAACAAATCTCTGATGTATATTTCAAAATTGTCTTCAATACTACAGCAATGTATAAATATTTGGTTTCACTCTTTCTGATGTCGTGATTATGTACTATTCTTTATATTTTGAAATTTAAAATTTCTTATTGTATATGTTTTATTGATTCTCAGATTGTGTGTGGGAAGGTGCTGAGACCCAGTTGTAACTTACCAAGTTGTTGTTTCCCCTGTTGTTTTCCTCATAATTTTGATGTGTATGTCTGCTGCCAAAAGTAATGACACTCTTAACTGGAAATTTCAATTAGATTTTTTATTCAGGTAAAGGTACATACACTGAAGATGAGTTACAAACATAATGTTGGATTTAAAGATAGAGCTAGTACATACAATACCTAAAGCCACTAGTACACATAGCGTTTCGGGCAACGCTGTGATGGTAATTTAATTACCATCGAGCATCTTGAAATTTTATGTATCCTCAGTTGACATGCGTCATGATTTATCTTTATTTTTCCAGCAAAGTTTCCACGCAATATATTAAGATTGCCTCATTGCATGGATTTGAATCTTAATTCAATTTTGTCTAATAAAAGTAATATTACTGTTAAAATTTGGCAGTTTACCTCTAATGGCAATTATTGTTTTTACTGTACTTTTGTTTCCATATGACTTTTTTTAGAATGCCCTAGCTGTAATTGCCCTGAAGTCTTCAACACATAAGTATGATGATAGACTCTAGCTTCACAATGTTACTGGACAGTGTTGCCCTTTTTGAAGGCAACTTCACTTATTTTAGTTTGACACATAGTCTTCCATGAATATTTTGCTTTATTGTCTTCACCCTTCTTTTTCCATTTTCCCTTCCTCTGTGAGAACAGTATTTGGTGTGGGACATCCAAGTTTTATCACCTGTTTAGATAGCCGTCATTCATATTAGGCTAAATAATTTATGTAATATTCCATCTCCAACACCCTCCAGCCACATTCTCCACTCACAACCTACTGACATAGGCCTGTCACCTGTCAACACTGTGAAAGTTTTCGCTGTTTAGTTTTCACTTGCCTTGTCTGCTGAAGTATTACACAAATTGTTCATTCAGCTTTCGTAGGTTGTGGTAGTGAATTTTATGCAACTTGCCATGCCTTCAGGCAGACGGTTTTGGATAATTATCTCGAGACCATTTGGTCTGTTTTCTCTGCTCTTTCAGCTCCTCTTTATAATATTTTTTAAATATTTCATTGCATTTTTTGTCCTGAGATAGGCCTTTTATTTGAGACTGGGATACTTTTTTGACAGCTGTGATCAACAAAATTTGTAGTTTGTTAACTTGCAATTCAGTTTATTGTCAATATGTAAAGTGTTTAGTGTGTTTTACAAAAGGTTCAGTTTCAAAATTGCTTTTGGCAGTCTGACGAATGAAGTAAATTGTGTGTTGAGATTAACAATAACACATTTACACTACTAAGATGTGCTTACTATTGTTACTGAACTTAGTGTTTATGCAATGAAGATGTATCTCTGTTTTTAGTATACCCTCTTGTTAATGAGGCTACTGTTGTACAGACTTTTTAAAACTATGAAACATATTTCTTAATATTAATGGTTTTAGGAAAATAAAGTTTGGAAAATTGGAATAATGCCATTTCTTGGTAGTTAGTTTACTGAGCAAACCTTTAAACTATGGTGGGATACATTGACTTGTACCGAGGCCTCGCACTTAAGACTGTACCTTACATGTTAGTGTTAGGGTAAAAAAGAGGGATGACATGTACAAGCATCGAGGCCTAGTAAGAAGGACGGTGGGAATTTGTGAACTCCGGATTACTCTTATTAACCAATAACTACTGTGTGAGCATGGTAATTTGTGTGTGTGTGTGTGTTAGCTTACATACATGTACACATGGGATTAATTAAATGTGTATGTTTATAGACAGTTTGTGTATTTTTGCCTAACATTGTTAGAGATGGATTTTAACAAAGTAGTGTATCATATATTTTAGAGGTATGATAATATATATCTGTATTGAAATGTGCTTAATTAAATAGTTTTTGATTAAGCATATGTTAATTCAGTACTGTACTATTGATACAAAACTTTGTTTTAAACTGCATACATATAATAATGCATTATTGATTTATCATTGTATAACTTTGTATAGTGCATAACTAATGTGTTTTTCAGCTGTCTTAACATGAATTGTTTCAGATTAAAGTTTGTTGTGCAATACTTAATTTGATTTTAGAATAATAACTTTAAGGAAAAATTTGACATTCAAAGAATGATTGGTTTACTGATTAATGTAATATAATTTTGATTATGTACCAGAATCACCTAGATTAACCAGATATATTAACCTTCCATCCTGGTAAGGGATGATTGTTTCATATTTTAACCCTCAAATTGCAGCTGTCATGAAAATTACCACATTAAGTGAAGGAAGAAATTTTGTAAAATGGGTCTCTTGAAGATCCATTTTCAAAAGTAGAGATAATACTAATAATTTTTTTTACATATATCTGTACTTTGGCCTGAGCAGTAGTCAACATTCCTTCTTAAGTTTATCAGCATTTTGTTATAATAAACCAGCACATATAAAACATATTTTTCAATTTTTCATTTGCAATATATTAAAAAGTAAGGAATTTGTTTGCAAAAATAAAAATAGCAACATTATTTTATACAGTGAAAATCTTTGTTGGCAAAACTGAACTGTATGTCTCCAAATTATTTTGTGGCCTTGAATGTCTCCTGGGAGACAATTGAGGTATTGGAAGGAACCACATGGGCAACATCAGTAATAAAACATAGATACAAAGCATATACAATATTGTCATATGATGACCACATTTCATTAGTCAATTGACACATGATGGCAACTGCATTTTGAAGGTTAAATATGATTTTGTCAATGCATTGGACATTATTTTATAGTATTACAAAATGTCTTTATTTCTTTATACAGTAATGATTAGATATTGCACTATTCCTGTATATTATTGTCCACAGGTAAATGAAAGTATCCTTGGAAGCTGCAGTGACTTAATGGCAGCAGTTAGATTACTAGTTCAGAGAGCTGCCGAGCTCCAAAAGGAAATAGTGGATTCAGGGAAAGGAGGAGCGTCCCCACGAGAGTTTTACAAGCGCAATCACCGCTGGACAGAGGGTCTCCTCTCGGGTGCCAAAACTGTTGCAATTGCATGTCAAGCTCTCATGTAAGTACATATACAATATTTCCTTTCTCTTAAAGATTCTGTAATAAGAAATGTTATCAGGGAAAATAAACTGATGGCCTTTGTTACCTATGAAGATATTCATGGGGGAATATCAAAGGTAATCTTAGCACTGTTGCTGGCTCTTTATATTTACCTCATTCATACATCACTTTGCAGTTCAAACTATTTTATGGTTTTCACTTCAAGAGGCAGCTCGCAGGAAGACAGGAGGATAAAAATTATTAAATGATTTATTGCTGCATTTTAAGGAAAATGTAAAGCAACGAATAGAAAACAGTACAGCATTCATTATAAAGGATATTGAGGATGCAGAGCATGCAGGACACATTCAGTTAATGTTACAGTATGAGTGTAGATATAGAGAAGAACAATCTAAAAGAGAGAGAGGATCTTCGCTTTTTGTTTCCCCCAGTTGTGTAACTTCCATAAATAACTAAGATTAATTGGACTATGGAACTTGTACAAAATAATTAAACAATTGAAGTAATTTAGATGTCGGAACTTATTTAAAAAATATACTATGAACACGGCAAAGGCAGAATAAAATGTCCTAAGAAAAAGAATGTAATTGGTGAGGCAATGCTTAGATGCAAAGATCCATTCAAGAGTTTAAAGGGTCCCAGTATTTCCTCTTGTAAACAAGTTTAAAATGTAAATATATTTGTTGCTTTAGAATAGTGCTGCCTAGGCAGCTGGGTTCCGAGCTTCACCTCCCTACCCAGACCCACTGCACCCAAGGGAGGAACTTAACATACGAAAGAAGAAAACTGTAGATAATTGGTCTTTACGATGATGACACTGAAACCAAGGCTGATGCTCACTAAAGCAAATCGGCACACATGCAGCCTGGCATACTCGCTCAGGAAATTACCTTGGCATGGGTAGTGTGTGCAGTCATACATCTACTGGCAGGCCAAGCACTTGAAATAGTGCACATTATTGACCTACTGTACTGTATACTGCTGTAGAAATTAAAAATAAGCACTGTACTAGATATTCAAGAAATTTTGAAAATAAACCATCATTTGTGAACAAATTTATTGATTGCTGTTATAATGCAATTTGTTACAAAGTATACTGTACTCAAATTTGGTTTACAAAATGTTTGTATATGCTTATTGTATTAATTATGATATCAAAATGTTCAGAAATAAATGCTCTTAGTCTTAAAAACAGAGAAAACTAGAGAAGTATAGGTGGGTATCATTATGATACATCAACATTGGTTAGTGACAGTTTAGATCAGATAACGTAATATATCATTAAAGCAATGAAGTAAAATTGGTTTATGATGCATAGATACTTCATCAGAACATGCAAGTGATAAGATTCCTATTCTGTGGCTGTACTGTACAGTAAACAAAATATTTATTAAATATGTAGGATGTAAAAGAAAGTTAAAGAAATAGTTAGGTATTCTTTATTTTTATACTAGACTGATTGTCTGTTACTATAATTCTACAAGTGTTTTGTATACTGTAATTGTCATAGTGGTATATAGACAGTAATGAAATTCTTCAGATTTTCTATATTCCTGTTATATAATTCATTGAGATAACTAATTGTACCAAAGTTTATAGTTACATTTGACTTACAAATATTTTTATTTACAGTACAGTATTTACAATTTAATGATTTGAATTATAATATATATGCATATTTTATTACTACATAAACTAGGCTACTTACTATGTAAAACATATTCCTTATTATACATAGGGCAGCAGCTGATCAAGTCGTTAGTGGTAAAGGCAAGTTTGAAGAAGTAATAGTAGCTTCTCGAGAAATTGCTGCCTCCTCCATGCAGTTGGTAATGGCTTCAAGAGTCAAAGCTGATAAATCAAGTGTGAAGTTGAGTAATCTTAATACAACAGCGAAGACAATATCAAGACTAACGGGTACAGTTGTTGCAACTGCTGAGAATTGTCGTGATAAAGTAATAATGGCGGGTAAGTTATACCAAATAAATTATCATTCAATAATATTTAATTACATATATGTCCCATCCAATCCAGCACCAAAAAATACCAAAAAATATTTTTGTTTTGTTGGGTTTAAATGGTTCTTAAAGTAAGTACTCATACACAAGACTATGTAAATGTCAACAAAATCTAAATCAGAAAACAGATTTAGATATCATTTTAAAACATGCCTTGTTGTAATTTTACCCTGTTTTGTATCTTCTGTGACATTGAGCAGTTTCCTTGGCCATTCTCTGATCCCAGTGCTTTCTTTGCCTCTATAAATGCAGCAGATTCTAATTATGGTTTATGGTAGGTAGCTACAATTATAATGCAGGAGTCTCTGCATATCTCGCTTGGTTAAATAGTGAAACAAGTATGGTGGAAATTGGATGACATTCAGTGGCCATTTTCTCTAGTTGGGCGATTTGTTACAGTTGATAGCTTCATGTGCACGAGTATCGATTGTCCACATCATATAGGTAGAAATTAATAGTTAACTTATTTTTCAGATACATTAGACTTTTCAAGGCTGAGTTTACACCATACTAAGAGGATGGAGATGGACACTCTTGTAAAAGTCTTGGAGATAGAAAAGCAGCTTGATACAGAGCGGTCGAAACTTTCAGAACTCCGTAAGCATCACTATCGGCTCGCAGGAGAAGTAGAAGGCTGGGAAGAAGCGGTGAGTACTGAAATCTATGACAGTGATTGTAACATCATTTCAGATTAAAAACAATGAGATTATGAAGCATCTCGATGAGGACGGTTCTTTGCTTTGGCGATGTTCCTTTTGCAACTCTCAATTATTCACCATTCCATTCTTTTGTTCTATTTGATAATATATGTGGATGAAACCTCAGCAAGTGATTCTGCAACATCTATAACCTCAAGAGAAGGATTTTTTTAATTTATCATTTAATCGTTTATATATTTTAAACCTGTCTAGGACTTAATTGCTTTTTACTTCTACAACACACTTTGCCCCATGCATTTAGTGAGATCAAATCATCTATTTTTAAAGATACTACATTTCATTTAGCAATAAGCCTGTTAGTCAACTCTTCAATCTGACATGGTCCAAATGAATGTTTAAATATAATGGGTCGTTTTCAAATAAAATTCAAAGTTAACATGCAAACTTGCATTCGTTTGGAAAACAGTGTGAATCATTGGCATGAATTGGCAGTAGAGGTCAAGCTCCTGTAACCAAGGTTAGGAGAAGACTGTTTTAGATCATCAAGCAGGGCTTATGAGAGTATAGCTGAAGAGAACATATCAGTCAGATAGTTACCTTATGGAATCATTGGAATACAGTAGATGGCTGATGGTAACAGCCATCTACAGATACTTACATGCGTGTGTGTAATTACCTAAGTGTAGTTACAGGGTGAGAGCTACGCTCATGGGGTCACGTCTTCTCAGTACTCTTTGTCGTATAACGCTTTGAAAGTACAGTACAGTACTGGCGATTTTGGCCTCCACCACCTTCTTACTTAGCTTGTTCCAACCATCTAGCACCCTGTTTGCAAAAGAAAACTTACTAATATTTTTTGGGCACCTTTGTTTCCTTAGCTTGAATCTGTGTCCTTTTGTTCATGAAGTTATTGGTTTCAGAAATTCATCTCTGTCAATTTGATCAATTCCTGTTAGTAATTTGTAAGTTTTTCCTCTTTTTTTTCTGTCTTCTAGTTTTGGCATGTTTAACGCATCTAGTCTCTCCTCATAACTCGTTTTTCAATTCTGGAAGCTATTTTGTAATATGCCGTTGCACCTTTTCCAGTTTATTTATGTGCTTCTTGAGATTTGGGCACCATACAACTGCTGCATATTCCATTTTTGATCCCGCAAAGGTCATGAACAGTTTCTTTAGTATTTCACCATCCATATAATTAAAAGCAAGCCTGAAGTTGGAAAGCGACGCATATGCTCCTCTCACAATGTTCTTTGTGTGTTCCTCTGGCGATGGCTTACAATCCAAAACAATCCCTGGGACCCATAACCTCAGTAGGCCAAAAAAAAAAAAAAAAAAAAAAAAAAAAAAAAAAAAAAAAAGCTCTGCAACTGATGACACTAGGTAGTATGACACATAATCACTAGGATAGCTTCAGGGAGCCTCTGGAGCTCACCCAGAAACTGGCATTTCATTACATTCAAAGCTGGTTTTATGATAGAGCCACAGATTTTGCTGGAAAGAGGTGGTTGGATTGCTTATCTGGACCTAAAACAGGGTATTGATAGTCCCACATAAGAGGTTGTTCTGGAAACTGGAATATATTTGGAGGGGTGACAGGGAGACTTCTGACCTGTATCTCAAGAAACAAATCATCAGACTGGAAAAAGTGCAAAGACATGTTACTAAATGGCTTCTGGAACTAGAAAGCAAGTGCTACAAGGAGAGGCTAGAAGTGATGAATTTGCCAAATGCTGGAAAATAGAAGGAAAAATCGGAGATATGTACTCTCTGGAAAGATGGTGAGAAAGGCATCAAATAATATATACTGTACTGTACATAGAAAATACTGGATGGCCAGGTCCCAAATTTGCACAGTAGAATAACAACATACTGGAGCGAAAGATATGGAAGGAAATGCAGAATAGAACCAGTGAGGAGTATCGGAGAGCACTGTCTGGACATCAGGGTCCATGGCCGTTCAACACCCTCCCAGCAAGCATTAGTAGTAGTATTGCCAGAATGAAGGTGGATGCATTCAAGAGGCACTTAGACAAGTTCTTGCAAGAGGGGCTGGACCAACCAGGCTGTAGTGAATATGTGGGCCTGTGGGCCACTCCAAGCAAGAGACTGTTGGACCAAGTTATCACAAGCCTGGCCTGAGGCCAGGCTTGGGGGAGTATAATAACTCCCAATCATGGAGTAGAACTCCCAAGACCCTCTCCAGGTATGCTACAGATCACTTCACACCCACCCCGTGCTTCAAAAGTGATTTGTCTAGGTTCAAGTCCTGGCCAGGGAGGACTGTCTGGGCATCAGTCCTTAACTGTTCACCTCTATTCACCCAGCAGTCCCAGCAGTGATTGAGTACCTGGTTGTTAACTGATTGGCAGGTCGTGTTCCAGGGAAAACTAGTGGGTAAGGTTTACCATGAGCTATGGAAAAGGGGAAAGCTCTCGGCCTGCTAACAGAAGTCAGAAGCTATCTGTTCCTGTACTTACATGTGGAAAAAAAAAATAATAGTAACAGGAATTGATATCTTTGAGAAAGGAATTCTTGAACCTGCAACTTCAAGAGTAAGGTGCCGTAGATTCAAGCTAAGAAAACAAAGTTGCTAAAAATATAAATTAGAAAGTTCTCCTTTGCAAACAGTGGTAGATGGTTGAAACAAGTTAAGTGAGAAAGTAATGAAGGCCAAAACTGACAGTAGTTTCAAAATGTCACATGACAAAGAATAATAAGATGGGACACCATTAAAGTAGCTCTCATCCTGTAACTGTATTTAGGTAATTACTCACTCTGACACTCTCTAACCAGCCCGTCCTCCAAAAATGGGGAGGACGGGAGTAACAGCACAAATAAGTGCAATTATGTACTATTCATAGCAGTCAGGAATTGTACTTATTTTCACTTGGTATTAAATCGTACTGTCAAATATATTGTGAATATTTGAGCTTACCTGAAAAGCTGAATAGAAAACCACGAGCTCACCTAAACGTCTTAGTGTTTGAAGATAAGCATTTTATTGCTTTTTAATTATAATTAGTACTTAACCTATAGCTATATTGATATTACAGTTTTATAAAACTAATAAAACAAAACTATAATATATCAATGAATTGTAAAGTAACTCAGAATATTTTCAAGTTTTGTATAAAATCTCTATTGTTTAATAAAACTGAAGAAGAAATTCCTGATATTTAAAACTTAAGTATAGCAAATTGAACTTAAGACACTCAGAATTTTAGGATGAAGTTTTTAACAGAAAACGAGGAGAATAAATGGGGAGGTAAATGTAACAGCCCCATAAGTGCAATTATGTACTATGTATGACAGTAAGGAAATGTACTTATTACACTTAGTATTAAATCGTAGTGTCAATTCGGAGGATGGGTTGCTCTAACTATAGTAAATATTTAATTAAATACAGTTGTAAGCCCCAACCGTTCACTTATTTTGCTGTTTTTCTTTCATTGCAGGAAATGAGCTGATTACATCTCTAGTACTGTACCTTTCCCAGCCTGCATTGGATAGCCCACAAAAATCCTTGAGCTTGATTAATGTATTTAAGATAATTTCCTGTAAACCCTTCTTGCCACATGCTACATAACAAAATGCCCCATAATTCCTTAATGCTCTTAAGTTTTCACTTGTTGCTTGGCCCATAATATTTTCTCTAGGTCTGTTCTCTGCTAAGCAGTCTCCGAATGTTTAAACTCGTCAGATAATGTTATTACATTAGGTATGTCGTACCTAATAGCCAGAACCACACTACTTCGTCTAATTTGCAAGGCCTGATTTGCCTAACAAGCAGAGTGATTTTTATGTTTTAAAATAGTTCTTTCCAAATTGGTTGATTGTACTGTATTCCAATTACTATTATTATTTTATATTAAGAACATGAATTACCAACTTAGGTTAGCTTAAGTTTGATCAAATTTTTTTGTTTAACTAGAAAAAATTAAAATCATATATAATATAATGGAAAGCTTTATCATTCCAGTAGGAAAAATAGCAAAAAATATGGTATATCAGGAAAATTCAGCTTGTTAGGCAACTTGGCCTGTTAGGTATAACATATGTATATGTATGTATACATACACTCAAGTACAGTATTTTACAATTGTTTCTTATAATTTTTTATATTCTGGAAAATCCTTTTCCATGAGAGAGTTTTATTGGGCTTTATCCATTGTATTTTTGCCACATGTGCTCACTTTCCTTCAATATGGTACATGGCTAAGTGTATCAGTGTGTGCATGCTTGAGTGCACTCACTCACTCCTTGCTCACCGCTTAATTTTTTTATATATAAATTGCAATATTTCTCTTTGTTTACAGTTTTTCATAGTCATGAGTGCAAGCACACATTTTGTGTGTATGTATATCCACACACACACACACACACACACACACACACACACACACATATATATATAAATAATGTCGTACCTAGTAGCCAGAACGCACTTCTTGGCCTACTATGCAAGGCCCGATTTGCTTAATAGGCCGAGTGATTTTCTTTATTTTCAATAAATTGTTTCCAATTACTGTAGTTTATTTGATTTATTATTATATTATATTATATTTGGAACATAAATTATTGACTTTGTTGTGCTAGTTTAGGTTAGGTTTAGATAGGTTAGGTAAGGTTGGTTAGGTTCGGTCATATATCTTCATTAGTTTTAACTCAAATTTCAACAAATTAACTTATGAATAATGAAATGGACAGATTTATGATTTCGTAAGAAAAAAAATTAGAAAAATATATAAATTCAGGAAAACTTGGCTTATTATGCAAATCGGGCCTTGCATAGTAGGCCGAACATGGCATTTTGGTTACTAGGTACAACATATATATATATATATATATATATATATATATATATATATATATATATATATATATATATATATATATATATATATATATATATATATATATATATATATATATATATATATATATATATATATATATATATATATATATATGTCGTACCTAGTAGCCAGAACTCACTTTTTGGCCTACTATTCAAGGCCCGATTTGCCTAATAAGCCAAGTTTTCCTGATTAATATATTTTTTCTAATTTTTTTCTTATAAATATAAAGCTACCCATATTATGTATGAGGTCAATTTTTTTTATTGGAGTTAAAATATAGATATATACCGAACCTAACCAACCCTACCTAACCTAACCTATATCTTTATAATTAGGTAGCCGACAAAGTAGGTTAGGTTAGGTTAGGTAGGTTAGGTAGTCGAAAAACAATTATTCATGAAAACTTGGCTTATTTGGCCTTGCATATATGAGAAGTATTCTGGCTACTAGGTACGACATATATATATATATATATATATATATATATATATATATAATATAGGCATACATACATGTACAGTATATACATCATATATATGTAATATTCACTTCATGTAATGACCAATATTTTCTCATTCATTACTGTATCATATTTTGTAGTTTTTATAATTGCTAATCCATATTAGTTTTCTGCATCAATATTGTCATCATTGTCTACATTATCACAATAACATCACCATCTCCACCCATTTCTCTCTTTCTAGATGGGAAAGAGTTCAATGCTAAGAAAGAAAAGAAAATTAATAGCCATGGGTAATATGATGGTAACAAAAAATGAGTGACTTCATGCCTTTCACACAACCTTCCATACTCATAAGAAACTAGTACCTCACTCTCTTATCAGTTACATTGCAGTATTTTATCTATTTCATTCTTTTGGAGTAAAAAGTATCTCGTGCAAATTATCCTTCATATTTACATAATTTGAGACAATTTATAATTGTCACTCATATTTTTCTTTGTTCTTTCCTCTCCAAACAATTCCTATACCACTATTGGGGTGTACACCTAGTATTTATCATGATGCAGCTGATGCTGCTGACCTGAACGCAGTATGAACGCACATTCTGCTATAGTCTCTGTAAGATATTGTGTAGGCCCAGCTGTGTACAGCTGTATGTACATATATAGATTAGCTTTCCTTGAAATGCACTAAGTCGCTCCTCAGTGCCCATGCTCATTACATATCATAACCATTCTGCTCTCTTTCAAACTCACAATTTTAATGACTATTATTTGGCTGCCAATGGCAACTTTCTGTCTTAACATTGCCTAACCCAACAGATCTTCCCTACTATTATTTGTATACACACCATGCACCTTTGTTTCATGTGTCTCCTCATTTGGTGGTGCAGCATTTGTTGTAGGGTTTAACTTAATAATATGCCAACAAGGTGAAAATAACCTAAACAAGTCAAGATGAATCTGCTTTAAGTAATTACAGGCTAGCCCTCAGTAGCTCCCTGGTGCATTGTTCTGGTACCCTTGCTTGATGGGGTTCAGAGAGTTGTTCTACTCCCGGCCTGAGGCCATGCTTTACTTAAGAGCTTGGTTGAACAGGGTCGGCATTTCTAGAAGAAAACTATGTAGTTTTCTCCTGAAGGTGTCCACGGTTGTTCCGGCAATATTTCTTATGCTCATAAAACAATATTTCTTATGCTCATAAAACAATATTTCTTATACTCATAAGATTATACATATACCACAGACATGTCCACAAAAATACCTATTCTCTGGACTTGTGCAGGCCAAATCAATCATCGCAAGGTAAGGCCTATTGAACACCAGGAAGAGAATATGGTGTGCTCGTAAAGCATTCTATGTTCTTTTTAGCTAAGAACTAGCATTGTGCTCTTCATTGGGATTTTCTGGTGTTGGAGGCTTGGTTTGTTCAACTGGAGGTGCACTATGTACTGTCCTCTTGCCTCTATCAATCCTGTCTTCTTGATGCCTTGTTCCAAGGTCAGGCTTTTTCAAATTATGTCTGGTGGTTCAGGTCATGCAGCTTAGTGTATATGTTTACACAAGTATGCTGCTATTACTGTCATCTTTGATAATGTGTCTACATCTAATATTTGGGCTCTGATTTTCTGGCAGTCTAAAAGGTGTTGGCAGCTCACTAACTGTTAGACATTCCCTATCCTAATTGAGACTGTGTAGTACATGGACACCTTTCCAGTCAATGCAGTCCCAAGCCATGGGTTACCTGCTGCCACCTGTTGATGTGCTTTGGTACTAGTGCATGGTTTGCCAACATGAGGCTAACTACTGCTTCCATTGATTCTATTTTTTCTTTCTCTCTATCAAGTTATGTACAGTAGTTTATTGTACTTTACCTGTACTTTCTGGAGGGTTTTACTTAGGTTTTGGATGTTACTTCTCCGTGCTCCCCTCACTTTTTGAGAGTACACCAGATGCTGACTTGAACAGGTCCAGAGGCCTAGTAGTTATGTGGGTGTGCCTAGTACCAGAGCCATTGCACCAAAGAGCTTCTGATGCCTGCTCGAAAAGGCGTTTCATTATGTCATGTGTTTGATTTTTATTACTATATTTTGTAGCTTTCTGAACTAATGTGCAATACATTGTTATAAACGATAGATTCATAAAAATAGTTTAATTTATTTTATACACTTTCCAGTTACTATATTTGTTAATATTTATTAAATAATGTTATAAATTAGTAGAGTATTTGCAGGGACAAAAATGTGCAACTTGTTTGCCTTAAAAATTGTAATGATTGGAATATAAAGCATCTGAGAGTGAGGCAGGTGGTATTTAATTGTAAAATATGCATGGGTGTTATGCATTGTGTAGTGCACCATGTCCATTGTTCATGAACTGCCTAGTAATAAATTGAATGAATTTGTACCACACATGAATTACATCACATTGTCTAATCTTCAACACCATGATTCATTGTCCATAAATTATACATATCCTTAATGAACAAACCACTGAGTAAGTTGAGTCAGGTAAAGGCTTGCCTGCTGCTTGTGTTACGTGCCAAGGTCAGAGCGGTTAGCCAACTTTATACTTGTATTTTATATTTCGTATACAACTCCCCAAAACAACACTACTCTGATGCAACTTGTTCCCTAACAAACAAATTTGTATGCTGAAAGTATTTTATTGTTAGTGGTGATTACATACATCTCCACAACATTTTCTTTCCCAACTATATTTTCCTACCACCACACCAGTCTCACAACCATGTATAAGAATTTGCACCACCACCTTTCCCATGGACCTCTGGCCACTTAATCCTGTTTTATTTTTTTTGGAGGACATACAAGATCATTAAAGTAAATACATCTTCAGAATGCCTGTTTGCCTGAGTGAGTTATGTATATTTAGCCTCTCGTGCACTCATCTAATCTAAGCATAAACGTTAACATTGAATTTGCTTCTATGATGGTAGAGTTTCAGTCCAATTCCTGAACTTTGTTTTTTGTAAATCTTAGTTCTCCAATATGAGTTCATTATTTTTTTCAAGTTAAGTTTAATCATGTCCCCCGTCACTCTTCACCTGTGTAGGAAATGTAATATTAGTTTTCTTTGTGATCCTTCTCTTTATACCCCTCACGGGAATTTTTATTCTTTCTGTAATATGCCTAAAACTGTTGGTCTTTTCACATCCCGAGAACTGCCAACCATCTGAGTTTGATACCCAATGTACACACATTGGGTCCTGCCTTAATACCTCGTGATTAGTTATATAAAGATCTGTTAGCCTAACAGTGATATTTCTCGCACACTTTCTTCCATGGTATAGTATGGAGAGCCTGATTTGTTTGGCCTTTTGTTTCCTTACTCAATCTCTATTTCAGTGTTATATATATCAGTGTCTCCTTATTTTCTAGCCCTAGATCTAATATTATATTTGCCTGATTGGCAATATATTACACTATTTGAGATAGTGGTATTTAACCCTTAACATGTGGCAGTCAATTTGCATATCTGCCTATGCACATTGATATATGAATATATATACAGCATATGTCAATAAACAAAATAAGGACACCGCAGAAGGCCTATTGCCCAATACTAGGTAGCTGCTTTATATTTTTATTTTATTTTTTTTCACTGGAGGGTACGGGAACAGATGACTGCTGACTCGTGTTAGCAATCTTAGAGCTTTTCCTTCCCATAACTCATGGTAAGCCTTACCCACTTGTTTCCCTATTATATGACCCACCAATCATTTAACAACCAGGTACTGTACCCAAATATTGTTGGTTGATCAAAGACATACAGTTAAAGATTGGTGTCTGGTCTATCATCCCCGGCCAGGATACTAACGTTTGCCAAAGTACTCACGAAATGCAGGATGATTGTTACCACTGCACCACAGAGACTGCTCGTAGATACAAATAGGAAGGGGGGAGGGAACTATCGGGAGAAAGCACCAAGCTATTGCAACTACTAGTACAGTATAGGGACCAGGATAAGGATTTCGGATGGGACGGGGGCAAGGAATAGTGCCCAACCACTTGGATGGTCAGGGATTGAACGCTGACCAGCATGAGGCAAGACTGTCGCTCTACTGG